ATTCGATTTATGGAATTCATAATTGGCTAATATGATCATTCAACGACCGATCAATCATTTTTGAATCTTGTCTGTATCGAACATGAACCTGAACTTTTTTTTATACATTACGCCATATATTTTACGAATTCTGTCTTTGAAAGTTAACTTCATTTCAATAATAATTTAAAATAAAATCATCTGCATAGAAATGCTGCTATTCAATTTTATTTGACTAAAGGAAATATATAATGTCTCTGCATCTAATATACTTGGCAATGTCGATAATGGTCTAGTCGAAATGAGCTGTAATCTTTTGTCAGCGTTTGCTGTGATATCATTATCAGTATGAAATAATGGACAGCATCAACCCGTTTCTGTTTTTGATGATGTGGTTTTTTAGAATCGTTTGTATAAGACACGTGTCATGTATTCCATGTCTGAATCTGTATCAATTTCTGATTCAGTGTATGGTTTTTGTTTGAATGTGTGTGTGTGTATGTATGTTAACTTTGGTCATCATAATTTTCGAATGAGAATAGAAAATTTGCTAATTAACCGCTTCTATCAGATAATCTTGCAACCATGGTTGTCGTTTGAATGAAACGAAGCGAAATTAATTGAGATTAATTCTTGTTGGCCAATGATTTGCCAATGGCCATTTGATGATTATGATGAATGTTCCGCTATGATGATCCGTATGATTATAATCATGAACATTATGATAACCATTATTTAGGGAATAAATGTCATAATCAAAAATTAATGTTCTTTTTAAACAGAATATGAATTTCGATTTGGGTCATTTGTGTTGGCCAGCAATGACATTCATCCGATCCCGGAAAAATCCCAATTACATTTTTTTTGTCATATAAACAGCTCTTTCATGTGTGTGTGTATGTGTATGAAGCTTCATATTTTCTACATATCCATTGATCATCATCATCACATCATCATCTTGGTTTAATAATCGAATCGTGATGGAATTTGAATCAATGAACATGACGATAGTGATGATGATTATTATCATTATTTAATGAATGTATGCCTCGATTAATGCTTAATACGTTCAAAAAATGGCAAATTTTTTTGCCCATACGGGTTACTAGTTTGACGTTATCAATTCATTCATTCAAGCGGACTTGACATTCCTAATCTATCGATGGAATTATTAGTTTTTGTGTGTGTGTGTGTGTGTTTGTATGTTACATTTTTATTCCCTCATTTACACATACACAAAGACGACTCTATCGAAGGCTCATATTATATAGCATCATCAGTCGAATATATTTTTTTACAATATATTTGCATACAATGAAATTTCATTGCTATTAATTACTTGCTTCATGTGAAATCGAAGATGGCAATCGTACTAATTAATTTACACAATACTCTATTCATATGTTCGTTTATTCATTCCTTCAGTAACGTTGGAATGGATTTTTTTTTGTTTCCTGTTCAAAGCAGAGGTTGGACTTGATGATTGAAGTAGGGTATCCAGGCACACTGACAATGGTCCGGACTAACTTTTGATGGTTTATTTTGTTTATAATTTACAATCGCTATCTATACGGCAAAAATATGAAACGACAAATTGCATGTCTCATTTCTTTCAGTATGTGTTTTTCTAGTTTGATGATTTGGCTAGATGATACAGATTTTGTTTTTGGCCGTCAGAATTTTGGATGAATGTTAGTTGAAAGAATCAAACATAAAAATGATGGCATGTATAGTGCCTAATATGATGTGCCTTAGCGATTTTGAGCCGATTGGAACTATAGTGCAAAAAAGCATAACGAACAAACAGAAATATATACAAACACAACGCGACAGGCCGAATCGAAATGATCGATGGCCACTCCGATGGTTTTTGCAGATTTTTTTTCACAGACCCAAATGTCGTCACCATCATACATTACTTACGGGCGACGTTTTTGATGTTGTTTTTGTTTGATCCCATTAGATTTCATCATGGAATGAAAATAACTATCGTGTCGTGTTCCTGCCTGTGTGTGTGTGTTTGTAAAAAGTGAAGCAAATGGCTTAACAAATAATCATAACAGGCATGAAAACGATGAAACAAACGATGAATGTTTCCAGAATAAAAAAAAAGAAACTCCATTTCTAGCAAATTTTTGCTGATGAATTCATAAACAATTCAAGGCTCACCGTAGTCGAAAATATAAAAGAGGGGAATGAAACTTGTTCATTCATTTTGAAAATGTCGGCTACTAGCTGGTTAGGAATCGGAATCGGAAATTCTTCTCCATCTAACCATCCAGCCATGAAGCTATACATAGTCATTGGAATTGGATTTAATTAAATTCAGTTTATATATGTACCGATCTATACTGTGTTTGTCGCCAACAAAAAAAGTTGAGATTCTTCATCAAAATGATTATCATTATCAGACTAGGAGTTGATGACGGCAACAATTTTCAGATTCTTTCACGATTTTGATGATGATGGCAATGATTTTTGATGATAATGGACAGAAAGGAAAAAAGAAACTCCATACATCCATATATTTCCATTATATAAAGTTATACCCGACCGAACAAATCAAAAAAAAAATCGATTCTATACTTCATGATGATTGGCTGTGCCAGGATTCATTGTGTGTTTGTGTATGTGTGGTTTGCCAAAAAAAATTGAACCAGCAGGCAAAGTTTTAATTTAAATCAAAAATTGAATTAAAATTTTCAATTCTTTTTTCAACAACAACTTATATAAAAGACATACAGTTCATTTTCCATTTCTTCTTTCAATCTCCCTCTTCTATTCTTGTATTTGAGTTCATTTTTACATTACAGAATGTATGATGAAATCCGGTTGCGATTTTGGCACGAGTCGATTGCAGTCAATTTCCGGCCTTAGTTGCTGACAACAATGTTTACTTTATCAAACATTTTTAATGATCATGACGCTCTTATTCAAAAATTTAATTGGAACAAGGGTAGGAATATAGAGTGTTGAAATGAACTGGCATTTGTCGCCTCAATCAATTCTATATCTACGAGAGACGAATATTTCCACCGGATAATTAGACCGGTTTCACAAAAAATATGAAAATGGGTGACGACATTCTTTACACACAAACACACAACGTTCGTTTCCGGAGTTGTGTGTTTTTTGTACCGATGAATGAATCAATATTTGCTCATTTTATGTCAATCCGAGAACTGATTGTTTAGCTAAGCAGGGAAATACAATGACCAATAATGCAGGCCGTGAACAAAACCATATTATTAATTTGTTTTCAAATATGGCAGTTCATTTACAGTTGGTCCGGATTCCAATAGATATGGCAATGGACCATCAAACATTGGTCGATTCGTGAGACCGACTATATGATCGTTTTGTTTCGAATGTTAATAATTGAATGCATGAGAAGCAATCGATCGGCACGTTTGAGAAACATTTTCTTTTTATTTCTACTTCATTGTTTCAAAATCAATAAACTCAAGCAGGCAAGTAAATTCCAGTTTTTTTTGGTGATAATTCTATAAACAAATGGTCAGTTCGAATAATCCTGGTTGGCAAGCCGTCTAGAAAAATAGAGAGAAAGAAAAGAAAAGAAAAAAAATCAATGAGAAACCGATTGACTATTGAATAACTATAGTTGGAAATTATTTCATTATTTAATCGAGAATAATCATTATTGCCTAAGAAATGGGTTTCAGTTGTGATAATTATTCCGGCTGGTAGTGTTCATTCACAATAAAATTCCATGCTCGCTAATGAAGGTTCAAATATTTGTGTGTGTGTGTATGTATGTTGGATTCTAGTTTGATCCATGGATTTTAATGCCGAAGCGAATAAATACGATAAATTACTTGTGTATGTAGCATTTGTTGATGATGGCTCAAGATGACTCGTTTTCTTTATACATTTAAATTGAATTGTTCGATTGCTCGAATGCAAATCATTGAGTTGTAAAAATTTTTTGGCTCCTTCAGAATCCCGTGTATCACAATACACTCATTCGGCTTGAACAAACAAACAAATGGATTCATATGACATGATCATGGCGTCGTTTCACAATTTTATTTTGTCGCTTGATTTCAATGATTTTCTTTCTACATGACTACAACAACAGCCACAATCATAATCAAAAAAAGCCGAGCTAAATGATGAGCAAATATAGGCAACCAGCCAGGCAAATGAAGATTTATTCTCTTATTGTTGATAATGATAATGACTTATTCTATCTTTCTCTGTGTCTCCTATTCTTTACTACTTAGGCATACGAGATCGGTCCTTTTTTGTCAACCGGGTTAATGTTGTAACATCATACATATTAGCAAAGAAACAAAACAGAAAAAAACAAAATGAAAACATGAAATCAGCAACAACCATCATATAAATGTATAAGACTTGCATGTTAGCCATAGTGGGCGGAATTTTTTCGCGGTTGAAACAAATGACTGCTTGCTTGTCTTTTTTTTCATAGGTTCCATTCGTTTCTGGTTTGGCTAGCTAGCTGCTTTAACCATGATTTCAAGTGGAAATTTAAATTGCCTTTCTCTCTCTCTCTCTCTCTCTCAATGTTTTTCTGTTACATGACGTTTGTGATTATTCTGTCCATTTGTTTATTTGGAACCCATGACTAGCATACACACATTTACCACATCGAAAGCTATCATGATAATCATTGTACGTCATATATCGACTCATAATGATGATGATCGCTCTATCTAAGGTTTTGGCCTCTATGCAGAAAAAAATCATAAAGGCAAAAGTTTTTTTCAATTTACAAACGAAAAACTTTGTTCGTCCATTTAATCATTTTGGTGAACTAAATAAAATTTGGAAATAATGTTTCCCATTGTTGCTACCCTCTTTGGGATACACACACCCTGATCATATGTATGTTCGAATTGGACATACGGATCGATAGAATAGACACACGCTGAGCTTGTGAATATCGATCCAATGAATAGTTTCCGTGATGATCCAGTTAGCTATGATTTTAAAATGTACATTCTAACTTTCTGATTTTTTTCCTTTTTTAAATATAGGAATGCATCACAAATATGAATGCGACATTGAAATCAATCTCTGCTTCTCCAATCCATGTCAAAATGGTGGTCAATGTGTTCGAAAAGAAGGTGGTTATTACTGTGATTGTAGCGATAATTTTGCAGGCATAAATTGTGAAATTAATGTTTGGACTGATATTTGCCGAACGAACTTATGTCGTGGTCGATCCAAATGTGTTTCACCAGCACCATCGATGCTTTTAGAATCATCAACAAATTTATTAGAACAAGATACAAAATCACCTCTTGACTCATCCATAACTAGTAATTCATCATCATCTGCTAATATTCGAGCAATAACAACTGTCCAGCCGCAACAACAAGAAATGGTTATCTGTACGGATTGTGTACAATCCGAATGGAGCACACCATTCTGTGAGCTACGGTCACGTTCATTTGTAACCGGATCATATCTTATATTTTCGGCACTCAAACAACGTTATCGATTAAATCTCAAACTTCGGTTTGCCACACGTCAGCCCAATGGCTTATTATTATACAATGGTCGCTACAATGAACTCCATGATTTCATCGGTTTGGAGTTAATCGATGGACGAGTTTATTTTTCTTTCTCGTTAGGCGGTGTCAATCGAGCTCAAGTTTCCGTAGGGCATCGTTTGAATGATGGCCAATGGCATCACGTGCAACTTAACTATGTAAATCATACGGCTACATTGATATTAGATAACTGTGATGAAGCTTTACTTACTGCCGTCGATCGTTATGATCTAGGGCCAGAATTTGCCTGTGCTAATCGTACCACTTTAATTCTTGAATCACGATGTTCAGATCGAATGCAAACCTGTTTCAGATTCCTTGATCTTACTGGACCGCTTCAGATTGGTGGACTTCCCCCATTACCAACAGAGTTTCAAGTTGAAAACACTGATTTTAACGGTTGTATATCTGATCTTCGTATCGATCATAATCTTGTTGATTTTGATAGCTACGTGGCAAATAACGGAACGATAATTGGCTGTCCGTCAAAAAAAAGTTTTTGCAATACCAATTCCTGTAATGGACGAGGTCAATGTGAAGATGCATGGAATGGATACGTCTGTCGTTGTGAAAACGGTTACACTGGTCAAGATTGCTTGATATTGACAGATACAGTCAGACATTTTAAAGGCAATGGATTCTTGTCATTCACTCCGAATCTTCAGCCATTAGCTTATCCTTGGTTGGTTAGCTTCGATATGCATACTTCTGCTCGTAATGCTATTATTGTTGCCATACAATTGGGTCAAAGCAGCATGGTACGGTTTGAAGTCATTGGTGGCAAATTGTCTTACGGTGTCGATGATCGAACGCCGATTGTAATCGAAGATATGGATATCAACGACGGGAAATGGCATCATGTTGAAGCACGCTGGATGGCTATCGGTATCACATTGAGTGTGGATTATGGTCAATACACTAAACGAACACGGCTAGATGGAGCAGAGATATTGGGTCTTTACATAGCCAAAGTAACTGTTGGTGGTCATGATACACCGGATGAAATTACTGAAGCCTACACGTATCGTTCACAAGCGCCAGCATTCATTGGTTGCATTCAATCATTGGATGTAGGCAATTCGAAAGAGTCATGGCTACGGCCAACTTTAGAAGATAATGTGTTCGTGGGGTGTCCAACTCCTTCTTCGAGCGGCAATGAACAATGCAAATCGGATCCTTGTCCATCGAACAGCGATTGTATTGTTAAGGGTATAAATGATCATGAATGTCGTTGTCATATTGGTTTTATGGGGAAAAACTGTATGCCCATTTGTGAATTGAATCCATGTTCTTATGGGTCAACTTGTGTAACAGCTAACAACACATATGGCTATCGCTGCCTTTGTGATCGTTTTCATTCTGGCTTCTATTGTGAAGATCTTCTACCGGAAACTTGTCCAGTAGATTGGTGGGGTTCGCCTATTTGTGGTCCTTGTAATTGCGACGCTACCAAAGGTTATGATGCTAATTGTAATAAGACGACAGGAGAATGTTTTTGTCAACCTAATCGTTTTCAACCAAACGGTTCTGATGAATGTTTTTTATGTGATTGCTATACCACTGGTTCTTACACGAATAGATGTGATCGTCAGACTGGCCAGTGTCAGTGTCGATTAGGCGTAATCGGGCGTCGTTGCGATAAATGTCCATCTCCATTTGCCGAAGTTACAAATCGAGGTTGTGAAGTAATTTATGATGCTTGCCCCCGAGCTTTCTCCGATGGAATATGGTGGGAGCGTACTCCATTCGGATCTAAATCAACCAGGCGCTGTCCGCCTTTTTCTACCGGTATGGCTCACCGTTTTTGTCGGCAAGGAGATGGTTGGCTAAAGCCTGATCTTTTCGAATGCCTTTCGGACCCTTTCCTTGATCTACAAGAACAATGGAAGATTATTACTGATTCTGATTCTCAACAAAATGGCAGCATAGTCCTCATAAACACTCAGCATTCTATCCGTCTGGTTAATGATCTACGAACAGCCATCAACGTAACGGATTCATTCTACGATGGTGATGTGCATCTCGTTTTCCGTTTGGTTCGTCGGCTAATTCAGAATGAATTGTATCAAACAGGCTTAAACTTGACTCATAAACAAGATCGTCATTTTCTTCGTAATCTATGCGAATCTACCAGTGCCATATTGGATCCTCGTTACTCCACCGTTTGGGAACGTATCGCTGACATTGATGTTGGCCCTGAACAGCTTTTGAAATTGTTTAATCAATATGCCGAAGTGTTGATCAATAACCAACGTGATACGTTTACCGAGCCATTTGAAATTGCCACCAAATGGCTAGTATTTGGTTTGGACACGGTTGCCACCCACGAACTTTGGGATTTATCCAGCTCATTTCAGCTGCAACAAAATCGTTTTGGTTCACATGACCATAAACCATTATCGGTCCGTCATTCCGAGCCATCACCATCGAATTCGACTTCGTCCATATATCTGGATTTCAGCTTACCTCCAGATCCGTTAATCACATCAAACACTGATAGAGAAGACGATAACCCCCTAGGTCAATCGAATCCATCAGTAGTCATACCCAAATATAACAACTATCCATTACGAAAACACAACATTGACGATATAACCAAAGCTATTATACCGTTGAAAATATTAAATGTCCAATCATTTGACGAATTACGATCGTCCTCACCATCATCGTCAGCATCTACATCGCCAACCTCATTATTCAAGCCACAACAGCAACAAAATTCATTGATTGGCTATACAATATTCACATCAATGGCTCAATTCTTGCCCAGCAATACAGATTCAACTGTCAGGTAAGCCATAATATGATTTCTTGTTTTCTGATCTTTTCATCAATTATTCTTGTTTATGTTTCAAAGGCAACGTTTTTCGAATCCAATCAAAGCTAATACTCCGATAGTCATTTTGACAATAAAACCATTTAATAGTTCAGCTCAAAAATTCTTGACTAAATCTTTACATCCAAAGATCCGATTCCGTTTCCGAATGTTAGCCCGAGAAGGTCGATCAAGTCCTCAATGTGTATATTGGGCATTTCCCACATCTACATCGGTTGCCACATCCGGTGTATCGAATCGTCGTTCATCGAGTCGTGGACGTTGGTCTTCAAAAGGATGTGAGCTGAAAGGTTTTTATCCTCCTCAACGATTTCGTACATCTTACGATTACATCAATTGTTCATGTGATCGAGCGTTCGGTGTGGCTGTTCTAATGGATGTATCCGGTGATGAGGTAAGTGTTCAATTAGTGATAGGACTAATTATATTAATATCATGAATGATATTCAAACAGTTCTACTACGAGGAATCCATGGCGCAAATAGCTACATCGTATACGTTGACTATAACTTCGTTAGTTTTGCTGGCATTAACATTAATCATTCTGTCTTTGGTTCGAGGACTTGATACGAATTCAAATTCAATACATAAGAATATTGTTTTTTGCTTGTTCATGACCGAATCGATGTTCTTGTTGGCCGTTCGTAATCGTACCTCATTGGTCCAGATGGAATCCTCATGCAAATTAGTTGCCATATTTTTACATTACTCATTTCAATGTCTCTTCACATGGATGCTCATCGAAAGCATACATCTTTACCGTATGTTGACCGAAATTCGTGATATCAATCGTGGCCCTATGCGTTTCTATTACTTTGTTGGCTATGGTGTTGCAGCTATTATTGTCGCCTTATCAGTGGGTGTTCGTGCCGACCAATATGGCAATCATCTTTTGTAAGTCCAGTAATTTTCCTAAAACTCGAATAATGATTGATTCTCTTTTACAGCTGCTTCATATCGATCTATGAGGGTGTTATATGGGGCCTAGTAACTCCATTATGTCTAATCATAATTGTAAGTCATTGCTGGCTTTTGTATCATATTTTCCATTTTGTTTCATTTTACTCATGATCAATGCCGAAAACAAATGAAAATAATTCAAGCAACAATGCGACCTTTTCTTTTGTCAAATTTAATCTCACATTTAATATGCATCCATTTCATTTCCTTTTCCCTTATATTAAACCCACTTGAAATATTTATTCTCTTTACAATGTCATTAGACTGCTTCAAAAGTCAAGAAAAATTGATAACAATAGGCCTAAATTATGTGGCCACATGGCGCGCATCAATAAGACTACTACTGGCTTTTATAATGGTCGCTCATTTTGAAATATATTCAGGCCCAAAGTGTCATCACATGTGTGATTATCATCGCAGTCGTTAGTTTTCTCACAGCAGCAGCAGTCTCCTTAATGAACTTTCATAACATTCCAGTATAGATTTAAACAGACTGGTTCGAGATAATTAGATTAGTTGCTATTATTCTCTACACCACTTGCCACATCTTAATCACCATCTTCATCATTGATCAAATCTAATTTCTAATTTTGTCGGCTTTTTATGAGAAACAAACAAACTTACTTTTCTAATGTCATATCACTTAGCATCTAGTTGATGTTGCTTACTAATATTCGTTTTTTTCGTCTATAGGTGAATTTGTTCGTATTCATGTTGGCCATACAAGCATCCGCTCAATTCAAGGCAAGCGTCTGTGATTATGGAAATTTACGTACACTTTTGTGGCTATCGATTGTATTGGTACCATTATTGGTTGCTCTTTGGATACTTGCCCTGTTATCCATCAATGATACCATCGATGAACTTCATCATGGCTATTCCTTGATGACATTGATATGTGCATTGTACATATTCATTGCATATTGTCTAGCTAATCGACGTGTCCGGTTCAGTTTGAATTCTGATTGGTGGCAATCGCTTGCGACCAGTCGAGCGCGACCTTGTATAAACGGTTCAGACGAAAGTTTCTCAGCTACTAGAACTTCGGTAACCAGTCGTAATGGACAAGGTGGTTATTATCATTCGGGTTCTACATTCGATGTATACGGCCTCAATCAACCTAGCCATGGCCAATCTATCGATCAACCTATAGATTCATCGCAAATGGCCGCTGTTATCTCGAGTTCATCGACTACCAGCAGATCTACATTGACTAAAGGTTCAACAGGAATAGTCGAACCCACCGATGATGGTTCGAATGATCTCGGAGATGGAACAGACGATGGTTATCGTTATCATCGACATCATCATGGACATGGCCATCATCACCATCACCGAAACCATCATCATCACAAATGTCGCCGTCGCCATCATCATGGTCGATCGAAACATTCACGGTCACGATCGGAAACCGTCGAAGGATCAAGTGATGACCTTTCTTATGATTATTCCATGGAATTGGCATCTAGTCATACCTCTGATGATGATGATAATGATAACCAGAATGGTGATCATGTCATGCAATCGCACAACGCAGATCAAACGACCACCGATCTGATGCAACATCATCAACAGAATCAGATCAATCAATTAATACAAGAACAACAACAACATACTCCGACTGGTGGTGGTGGTGGTATCTATAACACCAATGCGATGAATATAATATCTGAACCATCAAGTGACCTATCATCCAGTGCGCCCACTGTAATCTATGGTCAACACGCGGCAAATAACCGGTCATCACCTGCCGCATATGTCGGTGTAGCAAAAGCAACTCCAGTCATATTGAAACAAACGGATGATGGACAACAAGCTCATTTGATTACAACTTCACTGATCGCTGCTGGCCGATCCAATCTAATGGCCATGACTGCCGGTCTGAATAGCGGTGGTGATCAACCGGTTTCACCTATCTATGGACATCATTCGATCTCAGTACAACCCACAGAGCATATTTATTCATATGCGAGAAAATCCAATCAACCGGAACAACCATCACATTATTCAACGTTAGGACCAGCGACTGCTTCTGTAAATCCAGTTATCAAACCAATGGACGATGTTGGTTTACCACCAGTATCTGGTACAACATATCGTCCACATTATCAATCGATCAAAGAGAATCCATTAAAATCAGCTACGTGGTCTCACGTTAGACTATTGCAGCCATCATCACCAGTCTCAAAAACGACTGAAGAAACTGCTGTCAATTCAACGCCAATGACTAATGACATTTAACTCCATGTGTTAATAAGTAATAATATAATTAATTAATATTTTCACTGTAATTATCATTTTTATGTTGTAGCTATTCAAAGTTCATTGTAATTTTTTTTCTGACCATTTTTACCTCGTTACATTTGTAATAATAGAATAAAAATATTAATTAATAAAAAAGATTTGTAAAATGTGAAAAAATCGTTTATTCAAATATAAAATTAATGAAGATTCATTATATATTGAAATTAAATTCATAGGCCAACAATTGACCATGGTCATATGATGAAAAATAATGAAATTACGTATACAAAAATGATCAACTTTTGATGGCATCCACCCTAAGAATGACAATTGCGATTGAGTAATAGTGTATATGTCAGATTGTTTATGCTTACCGATATGCACCAACTACAACGGCATGATCACGCTCATATGGTTCTAATGTTACTTGTTCCAAAGGTTTAACACGTTCTTGTTGAAGCTTTTTTACTTCTTGGGCAAATACAGCCTCGGCAGGAGCAGTAGAATCGATGCAGTTTGCCTATCAAATCATAAAAAGGTTATTCAGAAATAAACTGGTTATATATGTGTGAAAGATACACACCTTAATTGAAACGACAACATGACCTCCGATCTTGAGAAAATATTGGGCATTTAAAAGTACGATCCTAGCCTGATCAGGTTGAGCCACATCGGCGAATATGGTATCCACCATCGAAATTAACATACGGTATTTATGTGGATGACGCGCGTCTTCGATTATCGGTACTATGTTCGAGCGTTTCTGCGCCACAGTCAATAAGTCACGTCCAGAGCGATGTGAAAATTCTACAGCATAAACTCGACCTTCTGGTCCAACAATATCGGATACGTGCGATACGGTAGTACCAGATGCAGCGCCTAAGTAAAGCACTTTAGAACCAGGCTTTATATGGATGTCTTCGACGCCGCCCAAAATCGATGCACCCAATTTCGAACGGAATGGATTCCATACACGGTATTCGATTTTTTGTCCATTTTCTACGTCGACCGATATTCGTTTTTCGCCATATACCGATTCTCCGGGAACTAAATTTTTAGTGACCAAAGCGTCTTCTTTGCCACGAGCAACAAAAATGCCTGCTAACCGTTGATGAGGCTCAATGATTGCTTTTCTGCCACCTTTCATGCCACCAGGAGCGCCACGGCCGCCACCACGACCACCACCTCTTCCGCCCCGCTGGCCAAATCCACCGCGACCACCACCACCACCCCCTCGACCGGGACTTTTTCCAAAACCTCCACGTCCTCCTCCTCGATCACCAAACCTTCCGCCACCACGATTACCTCTGTAAATGGCTAATTTAACAAGATATTGGATTGATATCTTTTAAACTTACCCGAACTTGTTTCCATTGGGTGTACCTCCAAATTTGCCACCGCCACGATTCCCACCGAATCCTCCACGACTTCCTCCCCTCCCACTACCACGAAATCCCCCACCTCTGGGTGCACCAAAACCTAAACATTTAACATCACAATTACAATAAATATAATATAAATAAATTACATTGTCATTGTCATACTTAATTACACACACATACCCATGTTAATGAAAGAAAAAATATCTGGAACAATGAATAAATTGAAAAGAAAAATACTCCAATACGATTACAGATCTGATGTAATCACGTTTGATTTTTTGAAAAAAGTTTAGCCGCTTAATTGACTTCAAGCTTGAATTTTTAGATCTGTCGAGTGAAAACACGTGCATTCGAGAATATGGACACTGAAGAACGCCCTTCATAGACAATGTATTTGCGAAAATTTTGTCCATACAATACTTGATATAGCTAAACAAAGAAAAAAGTATTTTCAGGTAAATCTTTGATTTTACATCTTTCTACAACCGTTATTTTGTGACAGTATGGCTATCAATCTGTTATCGACGACGCTTGGCCAATCAGCAGCATTAAGCGACAAGCCTAAACACAATTTTTGCGAAGATGATGAATACATTTTAAACGGGATTCGTTTCATGAATTTTCGTATGTTGTCATCGGATGAGATTCAACGGCATTCTGTGGTGAAGGTAGCCAATACATTCCTTTACGATGGGCTAACAAATAATCCTTCCAAGTTTGGCCTACTTGATCGAAGGCTAGGTGAGTACAATGATGTTACCAAACGATTGTAATTGTTGAATTCTCTATTGATCCTTGTGACCACAGGTGTTGGAACCAAAACTGTTAGATGTGAAACTTGTAATCGTGATTATAATGCTTGTGTTGGTCATTTTGGATGCATAGAATTGGCTTATCCTGTTTACCATGTTGGCTTCTTCAACTACACTGTCCAACTATTACAATGCATCTGCAAGCGTTGTGCCCGGGTATTGTTGCCTAATGAATCTCGGCCAAAGTATCTGCTTAGTATCAGCGAAGACATGAATCCTTTGGCTAAAAAAGCCTTACACAAAAAGATCGTTGCTCATTGTAAAAAAATCAAAATTTGTCCACATTGTCATTTTGAGAACGGACAGATCAAAAAATTCCCTTTCATGAAAATATTCCACCTTATAAAAGCCAAAGAAACGGAATTATTGAGTTCATTATTCTATGGTGAAGAGATGAGTAGTAAGACTGATCGCAATAATAAGATTTCCGTTGATGAAGTAGAAAATTATTTGGGAAATTCTTTTGAATTTCTTACCCCACATAATGTGCTTAAACTATTTGAAAAAATTCCCAAGTCAGATTATCTCTTTTTGTTACTTTTGGACAATTCGCCTATGGATCTAATATGTACACATCTACCGGTACCGCCATGCATTATTAGGCCATCAGCTCATAATAACACCGGATTGAGATCGGTCGAAGATGAATTAACCATGAAATTGAATGAAATATTAATTGCAAATGAAGCGCTTAAAAAGCGAATTCAAGATGGTACCGTCTTTATCAAAATGATTGACGCTTGGGATTTTCTTCAAGTACTAGTCTCTGTTTATATTAATTCGGATGTTCGTAATTTACCTCCTCAACACAATTCGGTAGCTTCCGGACAAGGTATCGCACAACGTCTCAAAGGCAAAGAAGGCCGATTTCGTGCAAATCTAAGCGGCAAACGTGTCAACTATTCAGCTCGTACTGTTATATCCCCAGATCCAAATTTAGCCATCGATGAGGTGGGCATACCCTTGAAGATAGCCACTCATATGACTTTCCCTGTAGTGGTCACTCCATTTAACAAGAAATATTTGCAGCACCTAGTTTTGAATGGTCCTAACCAACATCCTGGTGCAATCTTCATATTGAATGAACATCGAAAAGTACATCTAAATTATGTAGATCGGAAGCATTTTGCAAGTAAGCTCCAATATGGTGATATCGTTCTCCGACACATGATAAACGGTGATTATGTTTTGTTCAATCGACAACCATCACTCCATCGTCTATCAATCATGTGTCATCGTGTTCGTATACATCCAGATCAAACATTCAAATTTAACGAATGTGTTTGTTCGCCTTATAACGCCGATTTCGATGGCGACGAGATGAATGTTCATTTTATGCAGACGGAAGAAGCAAAGGCTGAGGCTGCCACCTTAATGCAATCCAAGTTTAACCTTATTTCACCTAGAAATGGTGAACCAGTCATTTCACCAATTCAGGATTTTATCACATCTATCTATTTGATGACTAAACGTGATACATTTTACAGTCGGCCCGAATTCTACCAATTGCTTGGCATGCTTTTGGGTCATAATGATTGCCGTAGGAAAATTTGTTTACCCAAACCGGCCATTATCAAACCGGTACCATTGTGGACTGGTAAACAAATAGTTAGCATGATTCTTAAGCCATTCGAAGACTGTGATTGTCGTTTAAATCTTAGATTCAAGGCTAAAGCATATAGCTCTGATGAGGAATTTTGCATCAACGAAGGATGTATGACTTAAGTTTGTACTTTATGTGTTAAGCCAATGCTTAAATGTTGTTTTATTACAGATATATGGATTCGCAATTCTGAGCTTATTTGCGGAACATTGGATAAATCGGTGATTGGTGGCGGTTCAAAAAAGAACATTTTCTATCTTATTCTCAAGGAATACAAACCAAGTGATTCAATCGACACTATGCTCAGGCTGTGTCGTGTATCCAGCTTTTACATAAGTATGTTGTTAACATATGTGAACTATAATTGATTGATTTTTTTTGTCATTCATAGCAAATCATGGATTCTCGATCGGCATCGATGATGTGACACCAACACGTGCTTTGATTGAACAGAAAGAGATGCTCGTTTCAAAAGGCTACACCAATGTCAAAACCTACATTGATCGATTCAATCGTGGCATATTAAATCCGATTACCGGTTTGACTCATGAACAGACACTTGAATCATTGATTCTCAAAGAACTGTCCGAAATTCGTGATCATGCTGGCAAAGCTTGCATCAAACAATTAAGTCATCGAAATTCTCCTCTGGTCATGGCAAATTGTGGCTCGAAAGGTTCATACATAAACATCTCGCAGATGGCCGTTTGCGTTGGCCAACAATCGATTCGTAACCAACGAGTACCCGAAGGTTTCAACAAGCGTGTTCTTCCTCATTTCAATTTCTCCGATCGTTCACCAGAAGCACGCGGATTTGTTGCCAATTCGTTTTATTCGGGACTAAATCCTTTCGAGTTCTTTTTTCATGCGATGGCTGGCCGTGAAGGATTGCTTGATACGGCGGTTAAAACGGCCGAAACTGGTTACATGCAACGGCGGTTAATTAAAGGCCTTGAAGATTTAGTTGTACATTATGACTACTCTGTACGTAATAGTGATGGCGAAATCATTCAATTTGATTATGGAGATGATTGTCTCGATCCGATCAATATCGAATCTGATGATATGTTTGCTGATTTTGGATATTATTGGAATCACATACTCAGCATCAATTCATATCCACAAGAACCAACACTAAATTGTAATCAGATTCGCTGCTCTGTGCGTGAAATTTTAAAACGTAAAGAATTTAAGGATTCCATACTTTCATTTTATGAGGAAAAAATCCAGACATTTTTCAATGATCAAGTTATTAAACAATTGGAGAGGCTGGAAATTAAAGAACACTTATCTAATATTCAAAACGAGGGACACATTCGAATTTGCTCTGGTCATGTGGAATCATTCTTGCAACGAATTCGTCATAAATTGATGGAATCAAAAATCGATCCAGGCACAGCGATTGGTGCCATATGTGCTCAATCGATTGGGGAACCGACAACGCAGATGACATTAAAAACGTTCCACTTTGCGGGCGTTGCCTCTATGAACATCACTCAAGGTGTGCCTCGTATCACTGAGATTATAAATGCGACAAAAAATCCATCGACGCCGTTCATAAAAGCTCATCTAATTGATCCAACATCGGTTGAGTTGGCTGAAACTGTCAAATTAAAAGTAGAAAATGTCTACTTGGATCAAATTTGTGAGAAAATCTATCAGACCTTTATTGATGGGATATTATGCTATATACTTAAACTAAATCAATTGGTCTACAAACAGGTGAGTGATGATGATATGCTTTGCACTGTTGATCGGAAATAATTTGTTTATGTTATTACAGTTACATTTAAATGAGAGCATGGTTGAAGAGGCGATCAACGCACAACTCAAGCCGGATATTTGCAAGATTATCTTTCCTTATGTAAAAATCTTTCCTAACGTTCGTCGTATGATCTATCTTCCTCGAATGTTCGAAGATGATCTGGCTAAAGTGTTTATATCTGGAAATCGACACGTACAACGTGCTACCATTCACGAAGACGGTGGCAAATATTACATAATGATCGAAGGAAATGGGTTTCTTCATGTTCTCGGGACTGATGGTGTCGATTCTCGGCTTACCAATTCGAATAACATCCACGAGGTTGCTGCTGTGTTGGGCATTGAAGCTGCTCGTGCTACAATAATTAGTGAAATTAAAACGACAATGAAAGGACATGGTATTACGATCGATGAACGGCATCTGATGCTATTGGCCGACACAATGACTGCTTCTGGCCATGTTGTTGGTATGACACGATCTGGCTTCTCAAAGGTGAAAAGTTCCACAATCAAAATGGCATCGGTAAGTGTTTAATGAATTTCGAATAATTAAGCTCGTTCTACTTTCTCTTTATTTTTACACAGTTTGAAAGAACTATTGATAACCTTTATGAAGCATCTTACTATAATAATCGAGATTATCTTCTTGGTGCATCCGAATGCATTATTGTCGGTGCACCTACCAAAATGGGAACGGGATTTTTTGACATTGTACCTGATTTGCGATCATCTTCATTGTCATCAACCATCTCTAAAAGTATTGATTACAAACATCGAAAATCTAGAGTGGATTTATTTGATGGCATAGAGCTTTAAAATAGAACCCCACATACTATGTGATAAGTCAATCCAAAACATTTTTTTGTATATACTGGTATTATTCGAGTAATTTTTTGCATTTCATTTTTAATTAATTTTCTCATTAATAAAGAAAAATTATCCAAACAATAAAATTTAACTAGTTAATAAATCTTGTTTAACAATTAAAGTTTATTTCAGAATCAATCAATATTTTTATGATCCTTTGTTTCTAATGAAGTAATAAATTTTTTTATTTTGTTTCGTTTTCGAACATTATCAATATTCATGAATCTGTTCGAAAATATTACATTCCAAGAATTTTTTTTATTTTGAAATAAAAATCATTTTTTTTATTATGACAGCATCATAATTTGAAATTTAAATGGACAGATAGACATAAAAACATTTCTAAAACTTCCAATTTTGTTCAATAATTTATCAATGAGATCGAATCGAATGAACATTTGAGAAGCTAACCAATACAAAAATAGCCTTGTCTAAAAAAAATTTCACCTCATATTTTTTCGGTCAATGATCATTTATTGATTGGGATCTCATTCTTGTATATGATTCATCTAACATTCAAAATATTCATTATTCTTTTTATTCTTTCTTGAATAATTATATTAAGAAACTTTGTCTTGAATATAAAAACACAACGAAAACCCACGGTCGTTGCTGAAAACTTGGAAAATTTATGATCATGAAGAAATTCGGCCATCAAATACACATTCATATCGATCTAAATCATGACTAAACTTTAAATTAACTCAAAATTTTATTGTGATTTGATTTATTAGAATTAGTGTAAAAAATATTCGTGAAATCATTAGTTTAAAGATGAATGTATTTCAATTCATTCTCTAAAATTGGACGAACTGTTTCATCGACAGCATCGATAATCTGTGCATTGAACAATTTAACAACTCCACTGGTAATAATGTCGATGATATCCTCAATGAATTTGATGTGTTCTGCATCTTTCAATCGGAGATGAATTTTAGAGATTTCATTGATATAAAACGAGTCGAGAGTGATATTTGTGCCAACTTTTAAACCAATATCAAAGTTCATGCTTTCGATATGTGCGACAATTGGAATTGCCGGAATCGACGGGAACGAAGCTATATGGCCAGAAATATCAGCATCTAATACTACTTCTTTAGTAGTGACCAATTCGATGTTGACATTGATAGATCCATCTTTGCTTTCGATCTTACAATTGCCCATTCGTTTTAACGTATCAAAACCTTGAATAACACCTTTGGAAATTTTAAGATGACCACTGATTGGGATTATTCCGATATTTTCAGTAATATCTTGTTCATAATCTTTGTGAAGTTTCATTGGATTTAAAAGTTCCGATTTGAGGAGACCACCCAACATCTGATCAGCGAGATTGTTCATGGCATCTTGCTTTTTATCAGCTTGAATTTTAAGTCAAAAATCATTCAATTGCATATTCTAAATTATTTATTATTTTACTTACCTAAAACTGTTCCAGCGACCAAGCAAAACAAAGCACAAGCATAGACAGATTTCATTTTTTATTGTTTCATATAGTGTTCAATTTTTTCAATCAAATTCATTAACTCGTGGCTTAAGAGATGAAAAAATTTTTCTACTTTTATATAATCCTCTGGAGGTAAAAATCACTCTTGTGATTAAAAAAATCGATTTCACTCTTCCACATGATTATCTCAACTGATCAAAAGGACTCATCCTTGAAAATGCATTTGGTAATCTATCTCTTCTAATTTTCTATATCTTATAAATCGATTGGAAATTTTTTAGATAACATCTCCGATAGTTCCAAACCTCTTTGATAATTGATAAGATTGAAAATTTCTACTTGAGAAGATCAGTCATCAGATCATCATAATAGATCAGATATCCAAAAGTTTTTTGTGCTTGAATTTCAAGGATTTTTTATTTGTCTTTTTCAATTACCGTAATTACGCACCTATAGTACGCGATCACCGTAACGCATAGGTACTATACACAGAGCGGATTATACAGAGGTTCTTTCTACATTTTTGTAAATTTTCAACTATGAAGTTGACATACTGCATTCAGTGCGGCCTATAGGCGCGAAATTACGGTACATTGTTTGACCAGTACAAATTCTCTCAAGTACACTTTGCATTTGTCAATCTAATACACGTAATTCCAGCTTCAATCTTTTCCTATTTGATAATTGGTTTATTTCAACATAATAAAGATGACTAAAATTGGCTTGTTTGATTAATTTTTGATTTTTTATTGGGTTTTTTCGGGAACCCATTCAAATATATAGCGTTTTAGAAATTACTTTTCAACGGATTCAGCAAAAAAAAAATTGTCGGAACTCTAATGTTTTCTTGTCTTACGCATTTCTCACCTTTTCAGTGCATATCATTTAAATTCTTGCACACTCATTCTTTATGATTTACTCACCTACATGGCGAGTATACAAAATTCGTGTTTTTTTTACTGTACATTAATGTTTTTATTTCTTTTCATCCAATGTTTGTATTTAGCACCTTCTTTGATTCAGCGATTTGGTAATATATTCAATTGATTGGAATCTATAACGAACCAAAGAAACAAGATTTAATTTTTTCTGTTTTTTTTTTGTTGATTGTCAATATGCAATTCTATGTAAACGCATAATGTACATTTTGTTTATTCTTAATTGTTGTCTTATCACCGTTTGTAATCAATCCAATTTCAATATTTACTTGTCATATTTTTTGGATTTAATAGTTGTATGTGAACAATGAAATCGATAGTATTTTCCAATAAGCTTGAAATTATGTAAAAATTTTCTATGTATCATCATCATGAAATAATGCTTATCACCTTTTGTTTACCGAATCCTATCCTAATGACGATGTATAGCTGGGTATTGTAATGAGAGATGTTTATAATATACATGTGTGAATACCATATAATGATAATGATGTTGATGGCAATCATAATCCACATTGTAAATTTCACACCTTTTCTTATTTTTTTTTTTTTTTTTTTAGTATGTTTAAGCCATTTAGGGTTGCAAATTTTTTTCGGGGTTTTTTCTCGGTTCATTTTATTTTTCATTGATCTTTCTGTTTGGTGAAAACTGAATTAAAATTCATCATTGTTGATAATAACATCGAGAAAACTATGACAATGACGAATACAGCATATTGATATTGTTTATAGAATGACGTTGACCATCATTCTATTGAAGACGAATCTAAATTTGTTAGCATTATTATTATTATTATTATTGTCGTCGAATGTTTTTGTTGTTGTTTTTTCATCATTTCATTCAAATTACTTTTTTCAATTATGGCATTTAGTGATGGTGAAATTACATTTATACATGTATAAAAAGACTAGTAACCTATCGTGAATATATTTAATCATTGTGACCGTCGTAGTTGACTATCGATGTCGATGGTCGGACAATAATTCCTTAATACACCAATTCATTTATTTAATATATACATTTGTTATCATCTCAAGTCATGTGCAAAATCCGCCATAAATCTATTATTGTATGACACAAGATGCTGAACACAGAAAACCAGGAAATTCAATGTTTATAACAACGACTATTTAAATAGTTTTTTTCAAAGTTAACATCAACGTTGATTTGAAATTTAAAAATATTCACTTTATATTTGGAATTGCTATTACAATATGAAAATGAATTCTCGAAATCTTCATAACATAATTATCTACATGATGATCATCTTGTTTTCTTGTTCTTTTAAAAAATCACTACAGCTTGGAATATTCGACATGTTCGAACTCTATGATGGAGTTCAGTGTTCAATAGAGATTGTACAATTATTTCTTGTTAATTACAATCAACCTATCTGTTGTATTTATTGGAAAGTGAAAAATTTTTTTGAAAAACAAGCCATCTCAAAATGTGATACACCCGAAAATGTTCAAAAATTATTATCCGGTGAAGTGATCAAAGATTACGTAGATTTTTCTCAATTAAATTGTTCACGTTATCCTGAAGATTCTCCAGATTGTGATCGTCTTTGGTCAATCGTTTTAACGGTCCTAATTGGACAGATAGTATTATTTTTCCTATTCTTTTTGGCAACCATTTTTTTAACCTGTTGGTTATGCCGTTTACGAAGATATCGTCAAAATGAAAAATTGATGAAAGCAAAATTAATGATGAACGATATGGAAACAAGTTCATTGACAATTAGTGATCAATTTGAAGATTCTGATTCAGAAATGACGGCAAATCATTCATCAATGCGATATCTAATAGACAGTATTAATCGTAATATTATTACAATTAATGATTATAATCCAATCAAACAACAATATGATAGCGATACGGACGATCGAATAATCATTGCAAACAAGACAATGACAGTGAATATGGCTAATAATTTATTCATTGATGAAAATGACGATGATAAAAAAATTAAGGAAGAAAAAAATATTGAAAATTATCAGACAATCACAGCTGCAGCAAACATTCAAGGAAATGCTTTTATGCCATTCGTATTGAATTCACCATCGCCAGTATACCATTCAACATCGAATGATAATGATATTTATAATAAAGTAAACGATCAAATTAAAAATGATATGGATGATTTTGATGATCCGGCAGCAAAAACAAATAAACAATTCGATTCAATGGAGGATTTCGTTTGAAATTTTTCATTTAATTATATACAAATACTCATCATTGACAATTGACATTTACAGATTTGAATGCTAAAAGCATCATCATTTTGTCTTCCGTTAAATAAATTTTTTTCTTTATTGATCTGTGTTCCATTGAATTTATAAACTAATTTTGCCATGATAAAGTACTAATTATTAAATATTTTATTATAAAAAATTTCAATGTCCCAATCTGTAATTGTAATAATTCTCATCACCAAAATGATGATGGATAAAACTTTCTTTTTTGCAGAACGATTGATGTGAATAAAAGTATTAAAAATTATTTATCAACGAGAATTTAATTCCATCATATTTGTATTGTATGCAATCAACAGCAAATGTTTAATTGTTATTGTGGGTTTTTTTTCAAATTCTTAACGAAAGTATTATAATATTACTGGCTTGCTGTGGCAATTAACTAGATAAATTTAAATTGGTAAAATTTCCAAGAAATAGTTGAGGAAATTTATGGTCAAATCATAAAGTAAATTGAAATAAAATATCATCATTACTTTTTTGGCAATATTTATATATTCAAAATAAATGATGTTGATTGCACACATTGCATTTAAAGCATTCATCATTTTGTTCAATATAATATGTAAAATCAAATGAAGGCCATTTAAAAACAAAATCAAAAAAAAGGATTTCCTCCTGGCATATTCCATATCTTTGAAGGACGATTGTACCAATATTGAAAATCGATTCTATAAAAAAAAGAATCAGATGAAATAATGTAGAGAAAACTTTAAACAGGATAAAAATTAATGTCAAAATATATGCCATGATCACTATGTTCTTGTGAATTTAGTTTAAAATAAAAATTATTGAATTGAAAAAAATTTTCAATAAAATCGTACATGTACTGATTTGATGGTGTAACTAGATTCTTATATCATCTCATATAATCAGCGTGCACGAAATCAATTAATTTCTGTTTTGTTTTCATTACATTTCACAAAATGTTATAATATCATGTAAATTAAAATCATCTTTATATTGTTCATGTAGTTGAAAACGATATTTTCATGATCAAGGTCGTTATCATCGGTGTAGTCGTCGAACGCCATAACAGATAATCATCGGATAAATTGAATTTATTTTAACAAAACAATCATATATGAAAGGATTTTAGCTGAATTATTTAATCAAAATTTTCGGCAACGTATTGTCTTCTTTTTTTTGTATTTATTGTAACTTGTGGATGGCTTTGCAATTAGTTTGCAATGTATCCACAAGTTACAATGACAACTACAATATTTTCGCCAGGTCAGCTGCTTATTGTGATGATCATTTTGATTTTATACTCTTTTAATAAAAATTTACTGTGAATTTTGTTTTTTAAAACAAACCTGGTAAATGAAAAGTTTTATGGGGTGGATTGACAGTAGTGAGTGGAGCCTAGACAAATGTTGCATATGAATTTGGTTGTATGTACGGTTCGTATGAAAATGTTGATTTCGACAGATAAGATGTTTTTGGTTGTAATTGATAATGATAGTATCTTTGTGGAAAATTTCCGGTGGTTTGTTCTATAAAATAAATACTGCCTCCTAGGAATGACGTGGTTGGCTGATGACCATATCCTTGTCCGCCCGTCAATTTTTGTAGAAATGATACCCGATCACCATTTGAAGCGTGGTATTGATGTAATTCAGGTGATTGATTCTTAAGAAAGTTGGTAACCGGTTGAGGATCATGTACCGAATTAGGATCAGTCGCTTTATTGATTAATAATTCAATGATATCATTATTATAAGGAATTGAATTCGAAGATTTGGCATTGGAATGGCTATTCGAAGCCAAAGCGGCATAATCATTTATAGCAGTTTTAGGTCTTTTTTTCGAGTTTTTTATCCGCGGTGAATTTGGACTATCTTTTTCGACCAAAAGTTGTGTAATCGGAGCAATTGCATTGATTTTTGTAACCGTGGTTTCCGGTATCATTCTTGGCTGCGATAATGTCGACATAAATGACAATGTTTGATTTGTCATTGTTTGTGTAGATGGCTTTAAAGAGGTTTGAAATAATAACTGAATCGGAGACCTTTCCCTTGGCAAAATTGTTATGGTTAACGATGGAGATGCCATTTCATTTACCAATGTAATCTGTGGTTGTAAATGCAAAGGCATGTATTGGCCAACAACAATTGTAATTATACATGTTGTTGATATCATTAATAGCAACAATGACGACCGGATCTATTTCATTCATTCAAATCAATAGTGAAGAAAAAAATCAATGATTATCACATAATTATTCATAGAAATTCACCTACATTCATTTCTCATTCAATTAAAAGCCCACAAATAAAGTTATGACAAAGAATTGGAAAAAATATTTATGATTTTTTACATTTATATATGATCAGATAATTCAATGAACTAAACCATATTGCTGATGATGATGATATATACAGTAATGATGATGGCTATGAGCAAACGTACACACAACTTTCGATGGTGAACTTGTTTTTAATTTTCCTCTCATTACGACACCATGATCTTATCGACAATAAATCGTTTATCGTTATTCTTTTTTTGCTGTTTTTATTTTTTACTTCTATGTATTAAAAAGATTGTTTTCGATTGAAATAACATTCTTCAGAAAAGATTTTTTCATTTTCAACACAGTTGTATTTGGATGAGTTGTCACGTAAGGAATAACGAATCAAAAACAACGTATGACCAGCATCGAGAAGAGAATATAAGATTTAAATTGAAGAAAAGAAGAAACAGAACAAATCGACATTTTCTTCGCATGTGTATTGAAGAATAGATTTTTATCAATTGAAAATTTAAAAAAAAATGAATGATATAAATTGAAATAAATTTTTATCTGTTTTTATTAATTCATTTTCTTTTTACGTACGACAATTAGAACAACAACATTTATCTGACGATGATCGATTATCAAATGACATTGAATTTGATAATCTTGGTTAATATTGGCTGCAACATCGATTCTTTGGTTATTGAAATATTGATTCTGATTATGACGTCGAAGAGTCGCCACTATTATAAAGTTTCCAATACTTTTTTTTCAATACTATCAATTCATCATGAGTGCCTTCTTCTACATTTTGGCCACGATCAATGACAATAATTTTATCCGAATTAACAATTGTTTTTAAACGATGTGCGATAACTAAACAAGTGCGATCTTTTGATGCTTGATTCAACGCATCCTGAACAATCTGTTCGGAAGCTGTATCCAATGCCGATGTAGCTTCATCCAATAATAATATGGATGGATCACGAACTAAAGCCCGAGCAATAGCGATACGTTGTTTTTGACCACCGGATAGTTGTGCACCTTTTGAACCTACAGGTGTATCATAACCTTGCGGCAAATTTTTGATGAAATCATGAACATTTGCCATTTGAGCAGCATGAACTATTTCATCAAATGGAACTGTTTCACGGAAATTATCACCATAAGCAATATTATCTCGTATGCTATAACTAAAAAGTACTGGTTCCTGTGATACTAATGCCATCTGTGATCGAAGCCAATCAACATCCAATTCCAAAATGTTCTTGTCGTCCAGATACTTGGAAAAAATGGAAAAATTTAGGATTGTGGTTTAAAATAGCCAAAAAGAAAATAGCAAGCGCAGAAAATAGCCTCGTTTACTAATCAATAGATTGTACGGAGTTTTGTTTGGAAAAATATGGTAGCCTTAAAGCCAAATTTAGTTTTGTACCGTAATTTAGCGACGATTACCCGTAGATTAACAATGATTTTTTGCTCAAAAAAAACTTACCACTTTTCCACGTATGCAATCATAGAAACGTTCCAATAATTGTATGGATGTCGATTTACCACAACCGGAAGCTCCGACTAGACTAACTTTTTCACCTTTGGAAGCTTTGAACGACAACCCATTCAAGATCGGTAAATTTGGTCTTAATGGGTAATGAAAATGAACACCACGAAAAGAAATTTTGCCATCTGATCGACCTTGATTTGTAAATTTTTCTTGCATCAAATATGCTGGCATCAGATCTTTAATGGGTTTACGATCAATCATCTTGAATATGTTCAATGCAGCAATTTTAGCTTTTGTATAATCAGATGATAGCACGGCACTTTGTCCAACAACAACAGAACCCCAGATCATAGATTCGACGATTCTAAGAAAAAGAGTATTTTAAGATTTATAGACTGAAAAAATCCAAATGTAAGAAACTTACTTGAAAAAATTTCCCGAATCAAGCAATCCTTTTGAGATCAAAAATCCTCCATATAGAAAAACTATAGTGTATGCGAAAAATTGTACACCCAATGCAAACGAAATCATCAATGCTTTGATGAAACATTTCCATTTAAATGATCGATAATTTTTCATTAATGTATCTTCAAATTTATCAAGAAAATATTGTTCTTTATGTAGTGAAACCACTGTTCGAATGGAATTGATTACTTCAATAATAATTTTCGAAGATTTTTCAGATGATTCATTTTCATTACCAGCTTGAGATGAATAAGCTGAACTACTAATAACCGATGCAAATGCAATCAATGGTAATAATGTCATCGATAAAAGTGATAGACGCCAATTACACATAAATCCCATGACCACTGATACGATCAATGTAGATACTGCTTGACAAATCATCGAAACACGCAGACCAGTGGCTCCTTGAACGTTGGCAGCGTCATTTGCTAAACGACTACATAAAGCACCGGCACTATTTTCTGGATTATCAAAAAAGGTAACTTCCTGTTGAAGAATAGCCGAATATGCCATTATACGAAGCCGTTTAGTAAGTTTCTCTCCAACTATTCCAAATAATGAAATTTGAATGATACAACAAATGAGAATACAGGTTGCTAATATTAGGAAATACATGGCATAGATGTTGGTTTGTTCTTGAATGTAATCGGATTGAGACTTGATATCGTACAACGTAAATAAATAAACAAATTCACCAAAGATGAATGCATAGATTGGCGTAGAAAGACCATAAAGGAGTGCTGCAATGAATGCTATTATGAAATAGAATTTATCCATCCAAATAAGTTTTATAAGACGCATATGTGGGAATTTGTTACGTTTTAAATTTTCTAAATCTTCTTTGGTTATCTCTTCATCATCCTTATAGCAATCGGCAACACTTCCATTTTCGCTAACCACTGTTCCGGCTTTTGGTCGGATCACACTTTCATACGTTAATGTTCGAGTTCGAGAAACTGGTATTGGTCGACTTGGAGAGGCTAAAATCTCAAATTGTGAATGTGTTGCTCGACGTTTCTGTTGTAGAGTAAGCGGTTCTAAGGTTGATGATTGTGATTTTAATAATGTCTGTTTTTTTGGCAGAACTGGTTCATTTGTTTCTATCTGTTGAGCCATGACCAAATTGAAATATTTATTTTTAAGTTTCATCAAATGTTGATGTGTTCCTTGTTCAACAAGACGACCTTGCTCAATAAACAGAATACGATCTGCATTTTTAATGGTTGATAATCGATGAGCAATAATAATGGTCGTTCGACCTTTACTAGCTTGATTCAATACTTCTTGTACAATGTGCTCGCTTTCCAAATCTAATGCCGATGTTGCCTCATCCAATAATAAAATCTTTGGATTAGAAATCAATGCACGAGCAATAGCGATTCGTTGTTTTTGCCCACCCGATAATTGTTTACCTCGATCACCAACATATGTCTTATATTTGTCTGGTAATTTACTGATAAATTCGTGTGCATTAGCTGCGATTGCGGCTTGTTCAATATCTTCAATGGTTACATTGTCCATCTGATCGATTGGCATACCCATACGAATATTCTCTTCGATTGATGTGTCAAACAATACTGGTTCTTGTCCGACGACACCTATTTGTCCGCGAAGCCAACCCGTATGAATATCACGGGTATTTACACCATCTAACTGAATTTCACCACTATCTGGATCATAATAACGCTGAATTAACTGAATAATGGTACTTTTGCCAGAACCAGAAAATCCAACGAGTGCCACGATTTCGCCACATTTGATTTTTAGATTTAAGCCTTGTAGAATTCGGATATCTGGCCTTGTTGGATAGCCGAAATAAACATTTTTGAATTCTATATCAGTTTTGAAATTTGTTCGTAAAGTTTTTCCTCGGGAATGCATAGAATCAATTTTTGATCGTCGTTCGAGGATATCCATGATTGATTTGGCCGATGTCTTGCCAATCTGAAATGATTCATAGAATGGTGCAGCGTAGCCAATATTGTAACCACATCCGGTTATGCCTGTTATAAAAACAAGTTTATTATATAGTGATATGTAATTAAATTAATTCAACAATACCCCAGAATATGATGACAATATCGTCAATTGTATAGACATCAGTAGGTGATATGATTAACTTTACACCGTACCATAAACCAACCGCAAAGCTTACATACAATGTAGCCCAATTTATCGAATTTCCGATAGCGTTGACAATGTTTCTTTTGAATCCATACACCATGGCAGGATGTAATCGTGTTTCATAGCGTTTCAATTCTTTATATTGACCACTGAAAGCAAAGACAGTTCGAATGGCTGAAATGGCTTCCTCTGCCACCGAACTAGCCGATGAATATTCTGTCAATTCTTTTTGTGTATAATGGCTTTGAAACTGTGAATAAGGTATATTAATATTGATATTTTTTGAATGCCAAGGTCATGTTTCTCTATTTACCTTTGTCATAACGAACGAAGTGATAACAATCAACGGAGCCATAGCAACGATAGCCAAAGATAGTTTCCAACCATACCAGAATCCAATAATAAGATTCATTGCTGCACCTACAACATTATATATCAAAAGTCCAAGGTTTTCGTTAAAACCATTTTCGAATTTTTTGAAATCACTATTTCAAGAAAAAAATAATCAATTAATGAAAATTAAAAATAGATTCAATCAACCGAATCGTCAATCGTATGTTATTGTCAATTTTGATTGATCACGAAAAACAACATACCTGGCTATTCTCGCTGCAAACTCTCCGGAATTATGTTGATCATGCCATGCTAGCTCTTGCGTGATAATTGAATGAAAATATCGTCGCTTTATATTGTTCGCCAGATTGAAGGCCAATAATTGAAATGAATATAGAGTGAGAAGATTGCCAACAACAAATAGTATGAAAGAAATGAATGTCAATCCTGACCAATAGTAGACATTGTACATGAATTTATCACGTGTTTCATCATGGGTTTCCGTTTGATTTGGATTTTCATGTTCAAATTGTACGAACACACCGACCACTTTACCAAACGTTACGTTCAACAATGGCCAATTCACACCGGCCAATGTAGAACCAAAAATACCAATAAATATAAATAAATGGTCATATTTTGTTGCATATTTTAGCTAAAAAAATAATTTATAAATTAACTAATTTTTGAACATTAAAAAACTCACAATTTGTCCCAATGATGCAGATGTACGTTTGTCACTGTTGATCTTTTCGGAAATTTTTTTCCTTTGATGCATGTTCAGAGATGTTCCTTTATTTCTTTCTTTTCGATCCGGATTTAACTTGGATTCAAACAGATCGTAGTGAAAAATAGCAACGATCGATCAATTGTACGAATGTTCAACATAAAATTTATGTTGGTAAAAGTATTCATGCGATTCGAGAGAAAAATTGATTTTTTTTCGGTCAAATGCGAATGAAAAGATTCAACGTTAAATATTTGATAATGATAAAGAAAAGAAATGATTTTATTCGTTGATGTAGTTTCGTTAATGGAAAATAGTTTAAGAAAAATGTATATTTATAGTGTATTATTATTAGATTCAAACCAAACAAAAAAATCCTAATTTAGTTTTGTTTTTATACAATCTATTTTACATTAGATTAAATGCAATAACAATCGACAAAGAAAAGACTATAGTTTAAAAAAAAATGTAAACCATCAATCAAGTTTCCAAAGTCTCAAGTTTCATCCACAAAAATATTTTCAACCCAAGACATTTTTTATTAATCATCATAATAATCATTCGATGTCATTGTGTATCATAAAAAAATGGACATCATTAATAATCTAAGTCAAAAATAGGAATGTTTGATCAAATGTATTAGCAATAGATTAATCGAAAAAGTTGTTTGACATTGATTTAATCATAGTTACTAAAAAAAATTTCTTATAAATTGGAAATTTTCAAGAATTTAAAAAAATATATCGAGCACAATTAACCTATTTTGTAAAAATCAAAATCTGATGAAATTGTTATTTTTAATGGTCTAACTTTTGATGCAGCAAATACAATTATCCCCATATTGAAATACATGACATTGAAGTATATCATTTTGAAAAGTTTGAAAATAATTCTTAAAATCTTTAATTTTCATCATAGAAAAGAATGCAACAAGTGATATAACAATACCAAATAAGGTTCCATATCATTAACAATAAAACTAACATTGTTCAACAATCAATGATCATAAAAATACGTTGACATTTCCACGTGTCTTTGCCAATAATTATTATTATCATTTTATTATTTAATGATAAATTACAACCGTGGAATTTGTACTTTCATATATCCTAGATCAATACTAAACATAATTTTAGCACTGATTCTTTTTGGCATAATTTTTTATAATACAAAACTGACCAAATAACATTGATGAATATCGAGATAATAACTTGAACTACAATGATTTTTCTTCTATTTAGAATTAGAAAATCATTTCCAATTTTGTTTCGCCAAAATAATCTAAACAACAGCCATATTAACATATCAAAACAAGATACAGTTAATTTATTTTGAAAACAAAACACATATAGTCTGCAAATCTATACATCATCATCCCTGTGGCTCTAAGAAAAATGTTTCAAAACTGGCGTTCTCATTTATTTCCTTACAATTGCTATTTTTGGCATTCACATCATCATCATCGTTGCTTTATTGGTGGATCAGGAAAGTCCAGTTTTTCTTAATCTGCGTTCAAGTTTTTCCTCATTTATTTTGTTTATTTCATCAATATCTTCATTGCTTCAACGATGAGAAATGGCTGAATGTTTCCGGTTTTCCGGAATTTATTGTTGTTGAAAGTTTTGCATGTATGTACGTGCAAATGTCGGAGTATATAACAAATTGAAAAAAAATTCATACAAAATAATTATTAAAAAAAACTGTACGATAAGCAAATACATTAAGTAAAAGAGATCGAGGGAAAAATAACATTGGAATACTTTCTATTAGTCGGAATTATTTTTTAAATGTCAATAGTGTTGACAAAATTTTGGAAAACGGTTTTTTTGGTCAGAACAAAATTGTAGTTATGATTATTATGACAAGGTTCTAATTGCCAGGGTGCCAGCATTTTTCTTTTCGACCACTTTTGATCGGGTATTAGAATTCTCATTTATATGTTTTTTTTTCATTTCCTACATAGATTATGATGAGAATTTATATCTTGATTAGTATTCAGCACCATAACCAGCATCATGACCATAACTATCATGTTGAACATAGCCTGAATCTTTGTGTGAATCTTTATAGGAATGATCATAAGAATCTTTGTATGAATGTTCATAATTATCTTTGACATAGACAGGCTCTTTAACCGGTACGGGTATAGGAACCGGTTCTTTGACGGCAATTTTGATGGGAACATGTTCTTTAACCTTGATAGGGACGGGAATCGGTTCCTTTTGAATATAATGTTTTTTCTTTTCTATGATTCTATAAATAAACAAAACAAAATAAAATGATTAAGCCAAAAAAAAAATTCTCAATATAAAACTCACGGAATCGGAAGTGGCAGTGGCAGTGGCAGCGGAAGTATGATCTTTTTTGTATTCAACAAATTCAAAAGTATATATAAAAGTAATTGTTTTCTTTTTTTATGGGCTTCAACTTCTTTTGACAACATAACAATAGTGACGATCACAATCGTAGCCATTAACCAGAATATAAAACGCATGATGAATTCAAATTATCACAAATTCATATACAACACATAAGAAATCGAATATGAAAAAAACAGTGATAAAAAAAGTCAAAAAAATTAAGAAAACAAAAAATAAATGAAAACCAAAAATTATCTTATGAATGCTCTCCGTACAACAGTTTGATTTATATACTCATTTTTGTTACGTTTTTGAATTATACTTCCATTCATAAGATTACTAAAACTTTCTCTCATTAGGATTTTTTTTGCATCCCTTCCTCTCACTGATCACAAAAATGATGAGTTAAAGTCGTCCACTCAATAATTGTGAGGAAATTTTATTTTCGAAAAGAAATTTCCGCTAACATATTCGGATTTAATAGATTCACTAAATTAGCTTCGCAATAATTAAGTAGGAAGTTTTTTTGCTTCCAACCGATCTCAATCAATAATAAAAGATTTTTATCTAAAATGAGAAAAAAATCAGCAATGAAATATATATGGACAAAGGCAATGATTATCTAGATTGATTATTTATTTCCATAACTTCAGTGAATGATGTCAATGTATCTTCATGGTGAGGATCAAATTCAATATTGTATAAATAATTGTTAGCTTCTTCGGAATCTTCATGTGGTTGCAATAGACCTTGATTCAGCTTATCGATACCATTTTTGAGCTTTTTTTAAAAAAGAGTTATTTTTGAAATGATCAATATTAATGAATAAGAAATCACTTATAAAAAAACTCACATCTGCAAGATCAACAAGACCAATTAAACGTCCAACTGAAGTGACATATGCCCGCGATAAGCTCAACATTGAGAAAAATAGATGAACTTTATAGATGGTTGTACGTTCAACCAGTTGAAATGGTGCTGGATCAATACAACAATCGTTAAAATCTACAACGGTATTTAATTGTTCCTCTTCCCATTTGTGTTGCTCTTCTGCTGTCATGTCAATGACACGTTCACGAGGCTAAAATTATGTTCATGAATGAGATATCTAATGATTTCAAGTCATGATATTCTTACCAATTGAACGCTTCGTTCAATGATGGGTGGTTTTGTTGTCATACTTTCGGCTGATTGTTTCAACTTGAATAAATGTCTCTTTAAAAATTCTTGATAAATATAAATGTTTTACTTACTGGATTCGGATGTGCATCTTCAAGATGTAAACTTTTCTGAAAAATATTTTCAAATACCTGTCGTAAACGCGAATCCTTGCGGATACTTGAATTGGTATTTATCGTAGAATGAGGTGAATATGTAGTTATAGTAAATGTTTGTTTCAAGATCGATTTAGGCTTCACAGGTGATCTTCGATCGATCGCTGATTGATTAATTCGTTTGTCTTCATAATCATTCGATGAAACTAAGCTGACATTAAAACGAGATTTATTCGTCGGTGATGGAATTTGTTCATAATCCATGAACGGAGTTATGAATTGAATTGAATCTTCATCACTTTCTGTCTCAATACCAAGAGCATATTCTTGAAGACTATTCTTTCGTACTACTTCTTGTAATCGACGTTCACGGCATAGAAGACAATCAACAATTCGTTCCAATTCATCACGTTGAACTGAACCTAACAAAATCATATTCTTGCAATTATCAACCAAGGGAAATGTCCGTATTTCAGGATTATTAGATAACAAATTTACTATATCACGATAAGTAAAATTTTTTAGCCATACAAAAACCAAATTACGGACCATAATATCATCGACAAAAATGTTATGTGCCAATGAATTAGCAACCATGATCGGTGGCAAAAATGGTAATTTTTTGATCTGTATAACTGAATCATATATTGATAACTCCAATTTTTGACTGATTGCATTTGATATGAGTACAGATAAAATAACCGGTATCATATGGCTCATTTGGCCAGTCATTTCGAACACGATCACCGTAATACTAATTGTATGTGTAACAGCTCCGGTAAATGCAGCAGCGCCTATATCAATGAGAGAAAATCAATCAAATTAACTCATCATTTCATCAATAAGCAAGTTTTGTTTTTTTAATGTGGAAATGATGATAAGCTTACCAACAACAGAATAACCACCAGGTACAATTGGTATGGTATAACCACTAAATGATATACCGTCTGGAAAACAAGCAGCCATAATTTCACCTACTAATCGGCCGAAAGTGGCACCAATTTTGAAAACTAAAGTGAAAAAAACGATTACAGAATTGAATTTATAGATAATTAAAAAAATTGTAAGTACTTGGTATGAACAATCCATGTGGAACTGGTATGGTAGATGCCAAAATCGACATCCAAAACTATTGGAAGTCGAAACGATTTTTAATTAGCATGTAAAATGAAATACACTAAATCCTACCGTATTGAAGATGGTAATGATGAGGTTAGTATAAATGCTTGTATGGTTAGTGGACCAATGTTGGACCATCGTTAAATGTTTTGAATCATTACTACCATGTACATCCCAAGTTATGTTGCTGAACAATTCTTTAAATGTTTGTGGATTGGATAGCTACGTTAAAAAATCGAATAAACAATTACGAATATCAATTCAATTAGATTCGACAAAATGTCATTGTAAAAACATACAAATGAGGCCATGTATTGTCCCATAAAAGGTGGAAACGAAATGGACATCAATAATAAAGTTACCACGGTTGGATATACGAATCGACTAGAAAGAATAAAAAAATTAATTCAAATTTAAATAAACATTACAATTCGTTAAATCAACTGATTATCAAGGCTGACAAGATAATTTAAAGAATTTTTTCTTGTTTACAATACTTTTTTTTTAGAAATGCATTCAACGTTTTCTGATTCCGGATGTAATGAACGAGCCAGCGATGACAACGAACATAAAAGGCACCACCAAAACCACAAGCAACACCGATAAAAGCAAATACCAATAATTCTTGTGGATCGAATGGAAAATCAGTACGAAAATTTGTTTTGAATAATGAAGTCAATGCAGCTATAGAACAAAAGAAAAAAAAGGATGAATGAATAATCATCATTGCTATATCATGTTTTAATGATTTTTTTTTGTTTAGTTAGTTTGGATAGTTTGAAGAAAAAAAAAATGAAAATAATATGCATATGAAAATCAAAATATGAGACCTTCTTTACGAAAGAAAACTGTCAACAAACGCCAAAAGGTTGCTGCAGAGCAAGCGGAAAAGAACCCACGCCAATAACTTCGAATAGCAAAAAAATCCGTGGTTACTTCTACTGAGAATAATACACCACCTATTGGTGAATAAAATGTGGTGGCAACGCCTACGGCACAAGCCACAGCCAACATTTCGGTGGTTCGTGCATCACGATCATATACATGCTGAAATGACCCAATCACTTTGGATAAGATTGTTGCTACCATTGAACATGTATGTACAAAACTAAAAAAAGAAAATCTTATCAAATCTTAATAAAATTAGAAAGAGACAAAACTTACGGTCCTTCCTTGCCAAATGGCAATCCACTGCCCAATATACACGCCAAACCGATTAATTTGGCAACCAATGTCCGAAATGATAGATATTCATGAAGAATCACTCCGCGTAATATAGTTTTCATTTCAGGTATACCCGATCCAGTTGCCTGTGGCGAAATGATACCAACTACACCGGTTGCAAACACAAGAAGCAAGACGGGAAATGTTATCCAACCAAAATATCTAATCACAATGTTATACGTAAAAAGTTGATCGTACAATAGCACACGAGTTTGATGACATTGTAAAACGAAAACTAATTTTATTTAGAAATTATATTTTTTCTAGGTGAAATGATTGTCGAAAATATCCATACTCACAATCAAGGGTAAAACTAATGATAGCCATCGTGATACCCAATAAAGCAAGGAATGGCCAATCTTCGTCAATAATACCCAATGTATATTTCCATATGAAACCAAAACATCCTGAATTTATTGTAAGAAAATATTTTGGTCACGAATATTCCTGAGAATACATTTTCAATGACAAACCTGATATTGCACGAAAAAAACTTGATTCTCGTATTAGTGATATCGGTTTGGCACCCCTTGAACGGCTTGATGCAAGTGAACGTGAAAATCTGGCTAAATCTTTTTTATATTGGCCATACATCTAATAAACATTGAAAATCAAATTGGTCAGTCGAATTCATGTTTTATTAAAATGAAAAAATATATTTTTTATTGGAATAAAAACACAAAAAACTAATGCAAAAAATTAAAAATTCATTCCACTTACCAAAGTCTGTTCGAAATCCATAGTATTTTCAATTTGTAGATTGACCATTATGATGGTGTAATTATTATGTTCTTTGTTGACGATTCAATTCAAAATGAAACCAAGGCATTAAACGATCAATCGACAATCAATTAGTTATAATTACCCATCAGAAAAATTATTTGATTGATTGCTGTTTGTTGTTTGATTTTGTTGATTGATGTTTGATTTAACAATCAAACACTTTATCATTTTTTTGACGACAAACCGACATAATCCAAAGATGGGAAAAAATATCTAAAAAAGATCTCTTTTGATTTGCATATGAGAAACCGGAAATATGTATATGTATGTTTTTGTGTAACAAAACAAATCAACTGCTTATGACGAGATAACGAGATCTTGATATTATTATTTAGTTTCTTCTATAGAAATAAAAACATTTCGTTAGACAATTTCGTTTATTTACAACCAGAAATCTAAGTGCGAAAATTTTATTTGTATGGTTCATTCGCACTAGTTTTTAAGTCTCTATTATCATCATCAAGGTCAGTTTCTGGCTCTGGATGTCAATCATTAAATTATTCATTTTTTTTGCAAGTTAGGTCGTTGATTGTTTGATCACTGCCGCTTGTATGATATAGTATTTAATTAATTTATTGATCATCATAATCAATCAGTTGAATGGAATAATTTTTATTTTTAATGACAGTTGATTTGAATATTGATAACTGCTACAAGGTCAAAAAATTATAAACATATAAAATACAGTAATACCCCGCTTAACGCGGGGGTTACGTTCCAAAAATTCTGAGCGTTAAGCGAAACAGCGCTAAGCGGGGCTATCTTTACATAATGCATTTTTACCCTTCATATACAATGTAACAATGTAATGCAATGTAGGGTAATTATACAGCGTTATATCGAATCAACGCTAAACGGGGCAGCGTTAAGCGGGGTATGAGTGTATAAAAATAAAATGAGAAAAAAAAATGATCTACTGCTACAATGCCATCTTGCGGCCAAAATGAGATTAGAGCAATTTAATTTCATAATTACAAGAATAATCGGGAAATGAGTATTGATGACAATAAATAATTTGTTCTTATTCAAGCTGAAATAAGTTGTACAAACGAAAAAAAAAATTTCTGCTTGACTTGTTTTGAGTTTTTAATAATTAAGTCGGAAGTTTTTTTTTGCTTCCAACCGATCTCGATCGATAATAAAAGATTTTTATATAAAATGAGAAAAAAATCAGCAATGAAATATTTATGGACAAAGGCAATGATTATTTAGATTGATTATTTATTTCCATAACTTCAGTGAATGATGTCAATGAATCTTCATGGTGAGGATCAAATTCAATATTGTCCAAATAATTGTTAGCTTCTTCTGAATCTTCATGTGGTTGCAATAGACCTTGATTCAGCTTATCGATACCATTTTTGAGCTTTTTTAAAAAACATTTTTGAAATGATTAATATCAACGAATAAGAAAATCACTTATGAAAAAACTCACATCTGCAAGATCGACAAGACCAACTAAACGTCCAACTGAAGTGACATATGCTCGCGATAAGCTCAACATTGAAAATAATAGATGAACTTTATAGATGGTTGTACGCTCAACAAGTTGAAATGGTGCCGGATCAATACAACAATCGTTAAAATCTACAACGGTATTTAATTGTTCCTCTTCCCATTTGTGTTGCTCTTCTGTTGTCATGTCAATGACACGTTCACGAGGCTAAAAAGATGTTCATGAATGAGATATCTAATGATTACAAGTCATGATATTCTTACCAATTGAACCCTTCGTTCAATAATAGGTGGTTTTGTTGTCATACTTTCGACTGATTGTTTCAACTTGAATAAATGTCTCTTTAAAAATTCTTGATAAATATAAATGTTTTACTTACTGGATTCGGATGTGCATCTTCAAGATGTAAACTTTTCTGAAAAATATTTTCAAATACCTGTCGTAAACGTGAATCCTTGTGGATACTTGAATTGGTATTTATTGTAGAATGAGGTGAATATGTAGTTATAGTAAATGTTTGTTTTAAGATCGATTTAGGCTTCACAGGTGATCCTCGATCGATCGCTGATTGATTAATTCGTTTGTCTTCATAATCATTCGATGGAACCAAGCTGACATCAAAACGAGATTTATTCGTCGGTGATGAAATTTGTTCATAATCCATTAACGGTGTTATGAATTGAATTGACTCTTCATCACTTTCTGGCTCAATACCAAGAGCATTCTGTTGAAGACTATTCTTTCGTTCTACTTCTTGTAATCGACGTTCACGGCATAGAAGACAATCAACAATTCGTTCCAATTCTTCACGTTGAACTGATCCTAACAAAATCATATTCTTGCCATTATTAACCAAGGGAAATGTCCGTATTTCAGGATTTTTAGACAACAAATTTACTATATCACGATAAGTACAATTTTTTCGCCATACAAAAACCAGATTACGGACCATAATATCATCGACAAAAATGCTATGTGCCAATGAACTAGCACCCATGATCGGTGGCAAAAATGGTAATTTTTTTATCTGTATAACTGAATCATATATTGATAACTCCAATTTTTGACTGATTGCATTTGATATGAGTACCGCTAATATAACCGGTATCATATGGCTTATTTGGCCAGTCATTTCGAACACGATCACCGTAGTACTAATTGTATGTGTAACAGCTCCGGAAAATGCAGCAGCGCCTATATCAATGAGAGAAAATCAATCAAATTAACTCATCATTTCAATAATCAAGTTACCAACAACCGAATAACCACCAGGTACAATTGGTATCATATAACCACTAAATGGTATACCGCGTGGAAAACAAGCAGCCATAATTTCACCGACTAATCGGCCAAAAGTGGCGCCAACTTTAAGAACTAAAGTGAAAAAAACGATCATAGAATTGAATTTATAGATAATTAAAAAAATTGTAAGTACTTGGTAAGAACAATCCATGTGGAACTGGTATGGTAGATGCCAAAATCGACATCCAAAACTATTGGAAGTCGAAACGATTTTTAATTAACATGTAAAATGAAATACACTAAATCCTACCGTATTGAGGACTGTTATGATGAGATTAGTATAAATGCTTGTATGGTTAGTGGACCAATGTTTGACCATCGTTAAATGTTTGGAATCATTACTACCATGTACATTCCAAGTTATGTTGCTGAACAATTCTTTAAATGTCTGTGGGTTGGATAGCTACGTTAAAAAATCGAATAAATAACAATTACGAATATCAATTCAATTAGATTCGACACAATGTCATTGTAAAAACATACAAATGAGGCCATGTATTGTCCCATAAAAGGTGGAAACGAAATGGACATCAATAATAAAGTTACCACGGTTGGATATACGAATCGACTAGAAAGAATAAAAAAATTAAATCAAATTTGAAGAAACATTACAATTCGTTGAATAAACTGATTATCAAGGCTGATAAGATGATCTAAATTTTTTCTTGTTTACAATACTTTTTTTTCAGAAATGCATTCAACGTTTTCTGATTCCGGATGTAATGAACGAGCCAACGATGGCAACGAACATAAAAGGCACCACCAAAACCACAAGCAACACCGATAAAAGCAAATACCAATAATTCTTGTGGATCGAATGGAAAATCTGTACGAAAACTTGTTTTGAACAATGAAGTCAATGAAGCTATAGAACAAAAGAAAGAAAAAATGATGAATGAATAATAATCATTGCTATATCCTGTTTCATTGATTTTTTTTTGTTTAGTTTGCTATTTAGATAGTCCGAAGAAAAAAATGAAAATAATATGCATATGAAAATCGAAATATGAGACCTTCTTTACGAAACCAAACGGCCAACAAACGCCAAAAGGTTGCTGCAGAACAAGCGGAAAAGAACCCACGCCAATAATTTCGAATAGCAAAAAAATCCGTGGTTACTTCTACTGAGAATAATACACCACCTATTGGTGCATAAAATGTGGTAGCAACGCCTACGGCACAAGCAGCAGCCAACATTTCGATGGTTCGTGCATCACGATCATATTCACGTTGAAATGACCCAATCAGTTTGGACAAGACTGTTGCGACCAATGAACCTGTATGAACAAAACTAAAAAAAGAAAATTTAAGCCAATGAATAGAATTAGAAAGAGACAAAACTCACGGTCCTTCCTTGCCCAATGGCAATCCACTGCCCAATAAACAGGCCAAACCGATTAATTTGGCAACCAATGTCCGAAATGATAGATATTCATGAAGAATCACACCACGTAATACAGTTTTCATTTCAGGTATGCCCGATCCAGTTGCCTGTGGCGAAATGATGCTAACTATACCGGTTGCAAACACAAGAAGCAAGACGGGAAATGTTATCCAACCAAAATATCTAATCACAATGTTATACGTAAAAAGTTGATCGTACAATAGCATTCGAGTTTGATGACATTGTAAAACGAAAACTAATTTTATTTAGAAATTATAGTTTTTCTAGGTGGAATGATGGGCAAAAATGCCCATACTCACAATCAAGCGTAAAACTAATGATGGCCATGGTGATACCCAATAAGGCAAGGAATGGCCAATCTTCGTCAATAATACCCAATGTATATTTCCATATGAAACCAAAACGTCCTGAATTTATTGCAAGAAAATATTTTGGTCACGAATATTCCTGAGAAGACATTTACAATGACAAACCTGATATTGCACGAAAAAAACTTGATTCTCGTATTAGTGATTTCGGTTTGGATCGTATGGCACGCCTTGAACGTCTTGATGCAAGTGAACGTGCAAATCTGGCCAAATCTTTTTTATATTGGCCATACATCTAATAAACATTGAAAATCAAATGGGTCAGTCGAATTCATGTATTATTAAAATGAAAAAAAATATTTTTTATTGGAATAAAAACACAAAAAACTAATGCAAAAAATGAAAAATTCATTGCACTTACCAAAGTCTGTTCGAAATCCATAGTATTTTCAATTTGTCGATTTTCCATTATGATGGTGGTTTGACTGTGTAATTATTATGTTCTTTGTTGACGATTCAATTCAAAATGAAACCAAGGAATTAAACGATCAATCGACAATCAATTAGTTATAATTACCGATCAGAAAAATTATTTGATTGATTGATGTTTGATTTAACAATCAAACACTTTATCATTTTTTTTGACGACAAACCGACATAATCCAAACATGGGAAAAAATATCTAAAAAAGATCTCTTTTGATTTGCGTATGAGAAACCGAAAATTTGTATATGTATGTGTTTGTGTAACAAAACAAATCGACCGCTTATAACGAGATAACGAGATCTCGATATTATTATTTAGTTTCTTCTATAGAAATAAAAACATTTCGTTAGACAATTTTGTTTATTTACAACCAGAAATCTAAGTGTGAAAAATTTTATTTGTATCGTTCATTCGCACTGGTTTTTAAGTCTCTATTATCATCATCAAGGTCTGTTTCTGGCTCTGGGTGTCAATCATTAAATTATTCATTTTTTTGCAAGTTAGGTCGTTGATTGTTTGATCACTGCCGCTTGTATGATCTAGTTTTTATTTTCGAAATTAATTTATTGATCATAATAATCAATCAGTTGAATGGAATAATTTTTATTTTTAATGACAGTTGATTTGAATATTGATAACAGCTACAAGGTCAAAAAATTATAAACATATAAAATGAGAAAAAAATGATCCACTTCTACAATGCCATCTTGCGGCCAAAATGAGATTAGAGCAATTTGATTTCATAATTACAAGAATAATCGGGAAATGAGTATTGATGACAATAAATAATTTGTTCTTATTCAAGCTGAAATAAGTTGTACAAACGAAAAAAAAAATTTCTGCTTGATCTGTTTTGAGTTTTTCTATTTTGTCATATAAGGGGCTTACGGTGGATTCTATTTTTTTTAGTTTGAAAATTGTGTGCATGAATTTTTTTTTCTACTTTCTTTCCATTTCCCTGTCCAGTGTGTTTCTTGTTTGCTAATAATTGTAAAGACCAATATAATATAAAAAACGCATCCATAACGTTAGCAATCGATCGATCTATGTGAAACAGTATGTGGCAATGGCAGTGTATTTGGCTTACAAATGTCAGAACCAAAAAAAAAGCCAATCGGGCCAAGGCGTCAGAAAAAAATGCTGAAAAAAATTGAAAAGAATAACAATCGATTGTATGTCAGTGTGTCGATGTCAGGCCAAAATGAGCCGAAGAATAAAAATAATAAAAATGAATCGCGTTCGCTTCAAAATCTCAATCTCTGGGACAACCATTTGGAAAGCATAAAAGCGAAAGGGAGTGCGAGATAATAAATCATCGCTGTCTCTCCATAGAATGAAAATATAACCAAAGAATTCATCCATAGCCCCAAAAATACCACCACCACCACCATCATCATCATCATCATCATCAGAAAAACAAGATATAATCAACTCTGTTGGGACATCATTTCATGGGGTTCAAAAACAAAACATTATGACCACCAAAAAACAGAGTTTTATTTGGTTTGAGAGAAACAAAATTTTTATCGATTTAATGGATACAAATTTTTCTCTGATTCTGTTTTGATCCGTGTAATAGCAAAAAAAAATATTAATTATGATTGATCTATAGATTGAATGTATCGATAAATCAAAATTATCAGATAATCTTGAAAAAAATGAAGATTTTCGATTGTCAATAGCAACAAGGACCACACATGAGTGATCAAATATTCCACTTGTAACGTATGAATTCCAAGGACACTTGAAAGACGACAAACAAACATCCACAATGATTATCAAATATTTGAAGGCAATGTTTTCTAAGCCTTTTTCACCATCATTTTCTTAAAATAAAATCGTCCATGTGTTCGTGTTTATGTGTGCTGGATAAAACTTATTGAAGGAATTTTTTTTTCTTTATCAAATTTATTCTGATTTGTCAGTTATGATTTGTGCTATTAGAAAATTTTATTTGATTTTCTTCTTCTTTTTCTTGGGTGGAGAGAAGAAAAAACGAATAAAAAACTTGTCTTGATTCGATTATTATGTTGATTTGTTCACAAGATTTTTATTCTTTATTTTTGGTTTCAATTTCAAAGTTCAAGTTTGAAAACCATTGAGATATTCATCATCAATTCTTTGCTCATTACTTATGTTTCTTTCATTCAATTGGTTTTATTTGTTGTTTCGAAATTGTTCTATATAACAGGAATCAATTTTGGGCAAAAACTTTACATCATTATCATCATCATCAGCAACAACAACAATTGACGGCTATTGTCAAGAATCATCAGGCATAAATACATACAACTTTTTCCATCCAATATTGGCTTAATGTTTGATATTTTTATCTTGTTTGTTTATTTGTTCCAATATATTTCATCGTATCATTGAATCATCACGGATCATCATCGTCATCATCATCATCCATCGTGATTGGCATCATACTATAACACACATACACTTGTACACATATCTATTGGAAATTATCAAGAGGGTCGAATAAATGTGATGATTACATTAAATAGGATTTTTTATCTTGTTGTAGACGCAAAAAGTAAAAAAAAAATGTTAGAAAATGAAAATGATGATGATGATGATGAAAGGTTTACTTCTGATGATATTTGTCCCTATAGAGGTTTCTCAAGAGACTTAATTCTTTTTTCTCTTTATGATTCTTTATTTGTTCGTTCATTTTTTTTTCTCTTTTATTTTTGTGTAATCATTACTTTTTCATGGTACGTTGAACGCCCTTTTTTCATCTTTTTTTTTGAATTGAAAACTAAAAACTACATTTTTTTCATAATCATTTGAACATGTACAGTGCAGTATCATCATCGTCGTCGACATCAACATATCAACATCATCGTCAATTGATAAATTACTTTAGTGGAAAAATAAGAGGAAAAAAAAAGTTAAACATCAACAAATCGACATAACAATCGGACTCATCGACAATACGTATAGTAACTCTAGAAAAAAGTTTTTCGTCTATTTTGCTCAGATCGTTCAGGAACTACTACTGATAACCATTCCATTTGTTAGATTTACAAAGAACAAAAGCGACAAGAATATTATTGCAATAGTTCGACGAAATAGTTTTGTTTGAAACTTCAGTGTAAGAAATCTTCAAACTAAAGTGAAAGTTAAAGTCAAGTAAGTTTTCAGTCGACGGCAACCAATTCAATTGTGAAAAAAATGTTGAAAAATTCGAATAACAAAAATGATGAAAATAATTTGGATCTTGATGCTATTTCCACTCTATTTAATCGTGATGGATTTGTTTTGATCGAAAATTTTTTGCCAACAACGATGATCGATGAGTTGTTAATCGAAACGAAAAATTTAGTTGAACAATTTGATCCGCAACAAACATTGAACAATGATAATGAAGAAGTGACCATATTCTCTGCAGGACAAAAACAATCAACTAATGAATATTTTCTTGGGTCAGGTGATAAAATACGGTATTTTCTCGAACAAGATGCATGGGATGAAAAAAATAATTCTCTCCGAGTGCCGAAAATAAATTCATTAAATAAAATTGGTCATGCATTACATTGGTTGAATCCAGTTTTTAAACGATTTACATTCCAGCAGCGTTTTCAAAATATTGTTCGATCGATAGGTTTCGAAGATCCATTGGTCGTACAAAGTATGGTTATATTTAAAAATCCACGCATTGGCACCGAAGTTCCTGATCATCAGGATGCAACATTTCTATATTCAACGCCTGATCCACGTGTGATGGGAGTCTGGTTACCTCTTCAAGATGCTACGGTAAGTTTTAAAACTGAATTTGAATTTCCAATCATGTTTATTGCGAACTCATAGGTCGACTTTTAATTCAATTTAGGCAGTCTTTTTTTTTCATTTTTTCATACTTTTCATACTCGGTAATTGAATTATATCATGATGATGATCCAAAATTTTGAATTCAAAATTTTATTTATTGAATTTTTATTTTTATTTTGTTTTTAAATGTCCCAAAGGAAACCAATGGTTGTTTACAATTCATTCCAGGTTCACATCGTACACATCCATTACAAAAACGTTGGATACGTCACCTAGATCCTATAGATGGCCGTGTATACATGGAATATGTACATCGTGATTGGTACAGTATTCCAGGCAACAATCACCATATTGACAGTGATGAAAAAGAATTGTTGAATAAATCAAAATTCATATCGGTACCAGCTTCGAAAGGTTCTTGTTTGTTGATCGATGGCCTAGTCGTTCATCGAAGCGATCCGAATTTATCGGATAAAGCAAGACCAGCTTATACATTCCACATATTTGATCAAGGATTTGTTCATGATAAGTATGATGATGATGAACGAAAAATCCTAGAACATCAATCAACAACAACATCGAAGCCAAAACCAAAACCAAAACGGCAATGGAATCCGTTTAATTGGATTCAACCAACCGATCAATACTCGTTTCCACGCTTATATCGGAATGGTCATGATGATGATAATGATTATGATGGCGTTTCCTCAGACTTCAAATGAAATGTTTTTTGTAGAATTCAGTATGGTGATGATGATGATGATGAAACAACAAATATAATCGAAATATAAGCAAAAACAAGAAAAAAGTCCCGAAAAAAAATTCCCTCTTACCACCATTATCATCATCATCAAAAACAACGCCACAAAAAGTAACGATCCATTTGAATCCGATTGCCAGAATCTATCTTGAAAAAAACATATAATTCATAATATAATATTATAAATTACATACAAGATATATATGTAGTTACATACATACATACATTATTACATCCTTATAAATATACATACATTTCCGTTTCATTTCATTTTTTTTTCTCTCAAATATGGTCTTAAGACATTAATCTTGAAAAAAAACTAAACCAATAATAATAATAATAATAGAGATCGATTATTGATCTTTTTCGATTTTTGTTGTTGTCATGATTCTAACATTTTTTATTTTATTTTTATACTAATCATCAAATCCATAATGATAAAATGTATGAATGAATTGGTGATTCACAAAATGGCAAAGTTGAAAAAGAGATGAGTGATTCATTCATACAAGACACAAATTATATAATTTGTGTCTTGTATGCATATATCAATGATCTGAGACCCGATGCAAATAATAATACCAATGATTATAATCAAAATGTCAAACATTCTTCTAAACTAATGTTGTTGATGATTTTTATTAGTTTCAACCATGGACATTTTTTTATTCAATTTTCATTTTTAGTTTTTATTCTATTTTATATTCTAAAATGATTTGATAAAAATCGATAGTAGTGAAAATTGTTTATAATTGTAAATCAAACCTATGTTAAAAAAGCATTTCGGAAAAAATTATTACATCATTATTATCCAAAAAAAACATTTGGTTGGCTATCAGAAACAACAAATAATGACCAACAAAAGCATTTCGAAACATCCAATCAAATAGACTACAAACAAAAACAAAACAAAAAAATATCCGTTTAGACAATAATAATATCATTTTAGGAGGATCCGTTCTCATTTATATATTATTACATTACATCATTTTGTTCATCATCGTTCTGATTGTCTAAATATTTTTTCTAAAAAAAAAATATTCAATTATTACAACCATCTAATTGGTGATCGTTACAAACAAACCTATAGCCACAAGCGAGAATCAGAGGGAAAAAAATTTCTAAAATGAAATTTGAAATGATGATTCGCAATGAGATAATATGACAATTTCTGGTGATGATGATTCTCAAAAATTTTTTTCATTTAACAAAACATATATTAGCCATTTATAGTTACTACTAAATGTCATTTTATCGTTAATCGAAATGGTACTCTTATAACAAACAAATCATTATTTTCTTCATGGCCTATAGGCGTGCGATCATGAGAGAATAAACAGTTGTCATCATTTTTTAATATTATTATTTCTACAAGAGGAAAAAATCGTTTTTCCTCTTTTTTTCAATATTCTTAGAGCTAATTTCGGTTTCATTATTATTATTATTATTGAATCATCACAATAAAAAAACGAACATCGTAAACCATACAAACCAGAAATAATTTCCGGTTTTTTGCCTTATGTTTCATTTCTCATTTCTTGTTGTGTGTGTGTGTGTGTGTTTGGGATTTTTTTCACCACTTTTGCTTCATTTATCGTTTATTATTTAACATTGTTAATGTTTTTTATTATTTATCTTTTTTGTTTGTTTGCCATATCAGAATTTGCTGTTCATGAATCGAATGCAATACAAACAAACAAAGATGGATTAAGAGAGAGAGAAAGAGAAAAAAATACGAATGCATCCCAAATGTAGAAGATGAATGAGTGATTAGTATATGAATATAAATTGAATAGAAATGTGAAAGCCAACAAAAAAAAGACCATTTCGATGATGGTACAACAACATTCTCTTTGTGTATATGCGTGTGTCTGAATTCGATTGATCCAAGAGCATACATCGTATGATTTTCTATGATGGAAATGGAGAATAAAAACAGCATTCATTTATTTATTCACATTATACATTAAACTTTTCAATTAATCCCTTGTTTTTTTTCTGGTGAGGCATGTTCATATGTGTCATGTCGATGGGACATTTATTTGTATGAAATTCGAAAGAAACAACAACTAGATGTGTGACAAAAATTTCAGAATGATGATTATTGTCATCAGTTGTGATTGGTAAATGGAAATTAATTCAAGACCTTTACATGAGAAAAACAAGAAATAAATGAAAATCAATGATTGATCATCGTCATAATCATAATCGAAATGAACGTAAATCGTTGACAACAAGAATAAAATTTCACCATCACGCAAATAAACGCCCATTTTTAGATTCCTTGTCCGATGTTGGACCATTCGAATGGAACATGGGCTCATACTTGAAACTTGATACGCATAGCTAGGCACACAAAATAAAAATCGATCTTTGACAAATGTAATCATGAGAAAAATGAATGAAATATAAACGAATTGTAGTGTTACAATGATCTAAATTTTTGTTTTATTTGATATTTAGGTGATCTGATTCAATTTTTTTTTATTATTGGGTTTTGAAAGCCATTTTGTTTCAAGTATGGCTATCGATAATTGTGTCAATTTGACATCAAATCCTAGAAATCTCGTTTTCGAATCAAATATCTATATTGTTTTGTTTTGCTAGCCATGTTTGCTTATTAGTTATTTTTTGCATTGTTTTTTTTTTGTCTTTTTTTCCGTAGGATAAAATTGGTGTTTGTTTGCTGGTGGTGTGTATTGGATACCAATCAAAAATGAGATCCGTTCATTCAATAATTGGAACAATTTTTTCTGATTGTTTTTGATATATGTCCTAGTTTAATATGACGTAGTGGGCAAATAGACGATCCAAAAAATTTGTTAATTAGGGTATATATGTACGAGATAATCGTATAAAACATCATTGATCAAATTTGTCGATTAGCATCATTAAACAAATATATTGTAATAATCATCTTCATCGATTAATAAATAAATCAATTGATAAGTATATTGATCATCAGTTACGGTTTTAAATCTATTCTTATAAATAAAAATATTCATCATTTATCGATCGAAGAATCATGTTAAACTTACAAAATAGAATGGCCATATTGGTTGCATTGCTTTCCGTCATTCATATCATTTATGGAGCGCCAAGAAATGTTGATGATCTTGATGATTCCCGTACGATTATATTCTCACAAGTTCCGATGAATAATCTTGTGCGAAAATGTTTGGAAAATATTCCACTTAAATATCGTGAACGATGTCTAAGAGAATCATTCGAGCAATATGCTGGCAGTCTATACCCACAGAAAACACGTTGCTGTACAAAATGGTCACAAATGGAATGTTTAACTAAATATACGTACAATACCATCTATTGTGATATACATCAACAGCAAAATGTCCATAGATATTTTAATCAGATACGAAGCACTTCGGCTGATGGTTCACCTGAATGTGTTGATTATCGTCCCATCGAAGAAGAAGTACGAAATTGGTCATCGGATTTAGGACGTGTACCAAAATGTGCTGCCAACGTGGAATTGGAATTTCTGGAAAATATTCGTGAAAATCATAACGATGAACATCAACATAATGAACAATCAGAACCACAACAGCAATAATTATTTTAAGAAAAAACAAATCGAAATCAAAATTTTCTGATAAAATTTTTTTTTTCTGACACTAAATAAATCAATATCAAGCTAAAATAGCTTCCAAATTAAAATTGAATATATATATAAAAATAACGTGTTTATACAATACAAGTACATTTATTTGCAGAGTGTAAACCGGAATAAAATGACATTCATAACGATTTTAGTGCCATCTAAAAAAGGAATTTTCTTCTTTGTTTGAACATTGAAAAATGACATTGACATCTGAATCTCAATATAGAAATTTTGACCGATAAATAAATTGAAATATGAGATTAACCAATTATATGATCATTTTGTTTGTGACTCAGAATGACAGCAAATTTAAAAAAACATTTTTTAAACATGTTTTTATACTTGATTACTTGTCTTGATATCAAAATCGAGCATAAAAATCGATGAAAATTTTTATTGTTGCTTTCATTGTGATTGTTCATCAGTGGTCGAATTCATCATAATTTTCCTGACATCGGTGAAATTGTTCGATTTTCTCATCTCTCGATAATAAGCATCAATTTTGATTTTAATAATTTTCACTTATTTCTATTAATCGTTTCCAAGGTTTGCTAAAATTGATTTTGTCGATAATTTATTTCATTTTTTTTCGTTATTATCCGATAAGAATAATCGAAAACAAAAATGCTGAAACCAATTTCTGGATCAAATTATTGGATCGTTTTGGCAGTCATTGTTGGATTAACAACAACATTGATTCTATTACCAATGAATGCTGAAGCTGCATCTTCTCATCGTTACCGTCGACAAACGGATTCATCCTCGACCGCTTTGACTACAGCATCATCATCAAATGCAATGATTACATTGTCCAATCTGATTTTACCGACCATTCGTGCCATAATTCAAGCACCCGTAAGATTAATACAAGAACTAATTTCTGAAATACGATTGTTTTTAAGTTCACATAATTTCACCGAAATGTTGGACGCAAAATTTCTTCGAACATTATTACAACGTCTACCCGAACGAATTGGTCATTACTGGCTTACATTTGTCGAAATGGAAAATGAATGTATTCAACGAACATTATGTGATGTTGCCGATTTTACCACTCATCATGTTCCACATTGGGTTAAGCAAATATTACTCATTTATTTCACTACATTCAATCAAAACGTTTATTTCGAAGCCATTAACAATGGTTTAATTGCTCATAATTGTCAGGCAAAATTTAGCCAATGTGATCCTAATTCATTTTTAAGCCGTTTATCGAATAACATGTCTCAATCCATCCATACAACTGTTGAACCGATTCGTGTGGCATTTTCCGAATTTGTTAATGTAACCGTTTCAGCATTAGATTCTATGGCATCGACCACTGAACCATCAATTCATCCAAAACCAATTCAAGAGACCAACTTTATTCAAAATGGTAATACTGCAGACGAATTTGAAGAAGAATTTGATCTTAATGAACGTTCTGGTTTTATTTCTACAAAAACCGAACACGCCAATAACCAAACTCGTCTCGATAATGTTCATCAAGACCAACCAATGCATGCTATGGATCAACATCATAATGCTTTTGCATCAAATCACCAACAACCACCACAGGTAATCAGGCCACCACCAGCAGGTTGGTCACCGGCTATGTCAGTAAATCGACAACCACAATATTATCAGCACATGATTCAATCATCACAACCTATGATGATACAACCACAACAACATCCATAAAGCTATGATGACATATCTTTAATAATCTAATTTCATTTGATTTACAACCAAACAGTCACAGATTGTTGAATTGATCATATTGTTTTTAATTATTCATAATAATTATTGTATACAATTTTCAATTGTTGTTTTTTATTTGTATTCTTATTCTTGTTATCAATTATCATTCTGATCTATCTGAATCTAAAATATATCATTATGATTATAAGTAAAATAAACTAAAAATTAAATTTTTAACCATTTTTTAAAATTTATGTTGATCGAAAATTTTGATTGAAATTATTCTCTTACAATCAATAGCTATTAGACGGATGACAAACATTGATCATCAGAAAAAATCGAAATTATTGTCAAGAAAAATTCCAACAAATAAATTCAACAAATTTATTTAACATTTTATTTTCGATTTCGATTCTAACCATATCCTCTATATATATATATAGAACTTTCATTTTGTTAGAAAAAAGCTTCCCAAATTGGAAAAAGAAAAAGATCCAATAATTCTACTATGTTATTATCATGATCATCATTATTCTGGGCACGTAATTTCATATAACATGCATACATGTTACAAACAAACCAATGGTGAGTCCCTTGACAAACCGAAAAAAAATCCGTCCCTTGCTTGATCTTTCTAGATCTTCGTTATGTTTATGTGGATGTGATAAATATCAAATTTAAGTATGTGGAAATAAAATGGTCGAATAAAAAAAACGAAGAAAAAACTAGGCCACTGATAATTTTAGAAAGATATCTAGATAAATAGATAGTATCTTTTTGTTGTGATAAACGACAAAGACCCTAACATACAATGGCATAGCTAAGTTACTAAGAGTGATTCAAAAATGAATGAAAGAATGTAAAAAAAAGAAAATCTGGCTCCATGGAACCATATGATATCAGAAAACAAGCAAAAAATCCCGGCAACCATAGTGGAACTTGGAAAATTTTTAGCTTTCGCTACTGCTTCAGATGTATCTGACTGTTTTAGTTTTATGGTTAGTATATTTGGCCTTTTGATGATGTTCTGAAATTTTTCTGTCATACATTTATTTTTCTGACAAGCAACCAAGTCTATGTGTTTGTCTGAGTGTCTTGCTTTTATTGTGTATTCAAAAAAAACTCATTCTTTTTTATTTGATCATCCTAACAATTGGAAAAAAAATTTAAAACAAAGAAACATGAAAAAAATGAAAGAATTAATGAACCACTAAAATGAAAGAAATGTGCACATCATTGTGTGTGTGTGTGTGTGCGACAAAGAGACAATGTAATCAATCATTCATTCGTGTATATTTGACAATGACAATGAATACAATGAAAAGTATAACAAATTTTGATTGAAAATAGCAAAAGAAAATTAAAAACTGCTTCTTTGTATCATTTTGATAATAGTTCGTGTGAGCCAAGCTAAATGAAAAGAATGAATTACAAAGGCTATAATGTTCATTACGAATTTCGTGATCTCAATTGGATTGGTTTAATTAAAATCAATTCTTTTTTTTTCTCATTTCTGATTTTTCTTATCTTTTGTTCAGTCAATTGATTATTATTAGTCTGTCTGATGATCAATTTTGAAAAGGTTATTTTACCAAAAGCTTATTGGCCTTATTGGTAGAAAAAATAGTGGATAATTTTTAAAAAGTCATATGACGATGGCAACCATCATAATGATAATGATGATGGTAATTAAATAGATAAACTAAAGCCACGTTGAAATTTATTTTTATCAGAATTTTAAGGCTAGAAAAAAAGATTATGAATTATATTAATTATCATCATTAGAAACTTTGTATCTTCATAATATTGATTGGAATAATAAGCCTTCCTTGTTTGATATTAATGCATTATTCGGCTTTATGTCTAGATTCTTGAAAATTTTTTGTTTAAAATTATTTATTTTCAAGATTTATTTCTCAATTCTCAATTTTCATTTCACCTTTTCACAATTGGTCATCGATAGTGATTTGGTTGAAGAACTCTATAGTTTATTAGGATAAATGGTCAAATATCTATCTAATCTCTTAGCTTTTTCTTTGCTAAACAAATGACAAAATTTTCTTTAATCATTGATTTTTCTTCCACTTATTATTGATTGTTTGGCTCATCAATAGTCATAATATTTGTATATATGTATGTTTGTTTGTATGATTGAAAAATTAATCCTACATTTTTTTTTCTCTCCATGCTATCAATTTCATTCCATAATAATAATAATTATTATTTTATTATTAGTATTATGATTCGAAACGGAAGTATCAAATACAGAAAAAGATGATAAGAATTATTATGCTTCTTTACAATGATGATGATGATGATGATAACAACAAACATTGAACAAACATATTAATTAACTTTAGATCCGATTTCTTTCTTGTTGTGAGATCTTTTTGACGGAATTTACTTAGAATAATAATGTTATTGTTCACGTTTTTTTTCCTGAGAACATTCATTCATTTTTGAGATGGAAAATGTTGAAAAAAATTTTTGGTATCAATTCTCATTCGGTTCTGTGTTGTGGTCAAATAACAAATCAAAATAAAAAAACGATGATAGAATATTTAGCAGGCAATTCTTAAATCCACTAATTTGAACGTTGATCATCATCATCGTCATTATATTGGTTGGGTTGCTGGGTTTTTTCTCTTATACTATCTCTATTTTATCTTATTTCTATTGAATATAATTAGCTGTTTTTGATTAAAAGACGAAAAATATCCAAAATAACTTTATTATTTCTGTTTGGACAAACAAAGAATCAAGCCAAATCAAATTGATCGAACATAAAATGAATGTTTGTTGTTAAAGATGTTGTATTTCTATTATTTTTTTCTTTACTTGATTGTTGTTGTTACCAACAGTAGAAATGATTATTTTAGAAAAGAAGCTAAATTCTTGTGATCTATGATGTGATATGTATTGTTATGTGCGTGTTTGATTGCAATTCAAAGTCGGTAATAGATTTTTTCTTTTGTCTGCACGATTTTTTTTTATTATTTGGGTAGAATTTACGGGGCCGAAATACTAGTTTATGTATAGAAAAGGTTCTTGTAACTTTATCTTGATTTTAAATAAATGATATGATGTTTCTTTTGTTTTCTTTTGTTGTTAACCATCAGAATTTTTGAAAGCCCCAAAATTTCATCAGTTTTATTATTATTTTTTTGGAATATTAGATAATATTTAAAAAACCATATCAACATAAATTATGGTTGTTTATGTGTTTGCATAAAGTTTTGATAATTTTTTTCTCATTTCCCCATTTTTTCCATAGAATCATCAATGATCATCATATTTCTATTATTATTATTCAACATCGGATCTAATCTTATGACGATGATGATAATCACCATTATTATGAATATTATGGCTCTATAATCTTTAGCATCATTAGTAAATTATCATAATGAATGAACGTATTGAATTGAATGTTTTGTTGCATAGTGAGTTCTTGTTCCATATATCAAATAATTTATTCATACTAAATAAAAATGTTTGGGTGTATGCACGTATGTTTATGTAACAGAAAAAAATACCAATCCATAAAATACTGATTTTTCATATATGATGAATCACACAAAACCTTGCATATAAACCGAGCCATCACGATTTTAGAGAGTGAGATTCGTTCATTAATCACAAAATGAACTAGAAATTTGTGTTTTTTTTTTGTTGAAAGTTTCAAGACTTGAGATTGCAATGCAGTGAATAATGTTTAAGATTTCTATGTGTTTTCTATAGGTATTCAATCAGCAATCAATGAACAACGACAAAAAGGTGGTGACCAAAAACGCTCGATGATGATGATTATTGTGGATTTTTCATTATCGTCATGATAATCATTATTGTTTTATTATTATTATTATTAAAATATCCACTGATGAAGATGATGGTCATAATAATCTAATATATCGTTATTATTACATTTGTGGCACAAACACATTCAAATATTATTATTATTAGTAGAAATTCAAAACAGGCTAAAAAGACAATGAAAGATTTCACTGTTTTCTATATTCATAGTGGTAGTACATTGTATTCTATGGTATTAAGTATTATAGGGCGTAGGCTCGGAAATTTGTTGAAAACATTTCCGTCATTGAATTATTATTATTTTTTAAATTTGAAACTACAATCTATTTCCTCAACAACAAAAAAAAAATTGTCTTCAATTGACAAATAAATCGATCATATCTCTTTCTACCATTTTTATGCATATATATTGGTTTTTTTTCTTTGTCATTATTCTAATTATTATTAATATCAATCAAATCAAACTAAAAAAAATGAATAAAATCGGAAATTCTGCCGGTGATAATTCTAGCAATTCTGCCCATACAATATGACAATTATAAATCAACCACATGCAATCCTATGTTCAAATTTTAGGAAAAAAACGGAACACACCTTTTTTATTTGTGTGAATGAATTCCAAGGTTTTTTTTCATAGAATAGATAATAAAATCATAGAATCAAATTATTGTGAGTGTGTGTGTGTGTCCTTGAAAATTCATCATCATTATAGATAATAATCAGTCAGGTTTCTACCTATTAATCTTTTATAACTTGTACCATTTATAATTACGTAAAGATATTTAGAGTTTGATAAAATCTGTTATTATAAAACAAAACTGAACAAACGGTGAAAATTTTCATATTAGAGAAAAATTGAAAGTTATGGTCACAACGATAACAATGATAATAAAAAAGAAAAAAAATAACTCTCTATTCTGTTTCGATTCTTTGCATACCATGACATCATCATCATCGTCATTGATGTTCATGTTACTAGTTGACTTTAACAACTATACAAAAAAAGCTGTCGATGAATATGTAATTGATAAAACGATCCATTCTTCTATATCAGAGCCTTTAAAAACCTTAGGCTGTTTTTTTTAACATATATTTTTTCTTCGTTTTATCATCATTAGCGAGCACAGTAAATCGATGGATTATTGATTTTTATGATGACAGTACAACAACAGTATTATTTCAAAAAAAAAAAAAAAATGTCAACGAATCAGCCAAAAGAATTCTCGTTTATGATAAGTGTGATAATTTGATGAAAACTTTTTTATGCTTTCCTTTCTTTTTGGTTTTCACGCCTTACCACTTTTTTTGGATTCATATTTCTTGAATTGTTCAGTTTTATCTTTCCTTTTATTCTTTCGTCACCCATAAACGCCTACAAAATACAATCATCGATTTCATTACCAATTTCAATTTTCGATACCTAT